GAAGACAAAAGACTTGAAACGAATTCGAACGAAACCTGTGTAAAAATTAAGTTATATTCGATGTGACCCATATGCATTTTTAACATACGGAACGAGCTCGTGTAGTTAGGTTGTTGTAATATGGAATAAAAAACCGTTTTTTAAAAAGATAAGAACAAATTTTTTACAAATATAACACTGACATTTTGGTATAACAATTTTCTTTTTAAAAGTAAAACATTTGGAGAGTAGGTAAACATCGCATTTGTACCACGTAAATCAGTCATTACGTTTTATCGTAATAGATGAATGATTAGTGTTCACACCTTGTTAAAACAGTCACCATTTAACAGGAAATACCTACTTATAATTTGGCAAGACATATAAAATTACATTTTTTTGTTTTTTGAGTCTATTTTCTACAGTGGTTCGACATTTAATTGCAAAAGCTCACATTATCAAAATTTGAAAATGTCTTGTCTATTTGGGTAGATCTACTCTTTAAGAATCAAAAACTATGGCAATAGTTTTCGCTAACATGTGTGTCATAGATTTTCTGTTCAGAAAAAGATTTGTCTTGAAATGCGAAGAATTGCAAGGAACTGATTAGAACTTTCCTTGAAGAGTCGATAACGTAATTCGTTGAAATCGAAGTTGCTGATTACTATCTCATCTCATTTTACTGATTTGGCGGGTATTGCAACAAATTCTATAGAAATGCAAACGCTTTTCTACCAGTACTAGTGTCAGCTTTTTATTATCATGGTTTTCGGTGTGTGCTCAGTTAGTAATTTTTCTTCATCATTCCTAAACAAGGTAGGCATCAGATAGCATAAAAAGTTGTGATTCGTCACAATTGCAATAGTTTTACTAAGTCTAAATCTTGTCTCAAGACACAATTCTAGAAAAAAGACTATCGAAATCAAAAGAAGTTAAATTCTTCTGTACAACCACTACTCAGATAGACACAGTCTAAGAATCCAATATACTTACTCTTTTCTCACATCCAAATCATCATTTCAATTTTCCAAACAGTTGCTTTCGGTAAATAGTGTTCTGGAGTTAGCTCGTGACTTAATTTTCAGTGAAGAAAAACTTGATACTGGCTATTTCATTACTAATACGAAAACTCTTTGCACCAAAATTTGACTTCAAAATAACTTGGTGCATTTTGCCTAGATATATATAACATGTTCCCACTTATCGTTTTTCCCCGCCCTTTTGATAAAAAATGTATCAGTCCAAAATTCCACTTTAATATTATTCTTTAAGAATTACCACATTATTTACATTATTGTTAAGAGCAAAGATAAGTGATCTGCGAGAAAGAACTAGAAGCATCTCAAATGTGTTGGGAACTCACAGTCTGGTACAGCAAAAGCCGTTACAAAAATCATTCACATTCACAAATCGGAATCCAGTACTGTCAAAGTGCTACTATAAGAGATTGAAACAACAACAATTTGTTTTTACAGACATAACGGATATGATAGGTACTATATGTGGTGTGTTGTCCGTCGGTATTGATTTATTGCTTCATCTAGGTATCAGTTTACAGTTTAATGACTATAAATACACCAGATATTAAAAATTAGGTGTAAATTACACAAGTCAACAATCAAAAACGGTAAGATAAATATTAGAAGTACATACTATATGAAATTTTAAAAGAAAAGAATTGATATTTTATTGGCTTTGTCGAGCTAAAGCTAAAATTCACCCGATTTGTAAATGTTGTTAGCGAAGACAACTGGACAACTTTTCTCGAAAGAAAAATTCTTTGGAATACTGGAAAAAAATGTTCAAATAAACTGATTCTAAGAACTTGAAAGCCAGGACAGGTCAACTAATGGATTTTTGATTCCATGTGTAAATAAACTAATGGTCAAAAAACTCCAAGTGTAAAAACAAAGTTATACAAGCTTATTTTATTAGCATATGATCAGGTACATGCGAGTTATGTCGGTTTTTGAACCTCTGTCAAAAAATGAGGATAGGTAAATTGGCTCCGATGGTGCAGGGAGGATAGATTTTTGATCTTTTTATCGAACAACCAACAAGTGAGTCGCTCCATACTAAGCTTGATTCACTTTTTTATTCAAAACATCCTAATATCAGTTTGTAGAAGTTTGAAAAATATAAATTCAGACTGCTACATACTGCAAAAAGGCAATTTCCGAGCATAAATTTATCGATCAAACAAAATACAACAACAAATTTTTAATTTGTAACATGTATAGCATATTATACTTAGAAACAAACCGAAAACAAATAATATTTGGTTTTGTTTTGGTCTATTATTTAATTTATCTTTGCAGCAAAATACAATAGTATTAACGAAAATAAGAAAATATATTTGCTAAGTAAATAACAGTGATTTGTTAAAATTATTACATGTAATCGATCAAATATGTTTTGTATTTTTTTTGTATGATGAACACTAATAAAATAATAACTTTAATTTGAAATAAACATTGTAATGCTTAATTTGTAGGATTATTAAGTTTTGTGAAAATAACCATTCGCCCGGCAGGGGATGGAAGCCAATGGTCTAGCAGGAGCCAATTTACGTGTAAGTCACAACCTGAGTTACGTTATTGACGAGTAAAACACTGTTGTCCTTCTGTTGCTGTAATACACGTCCCATAAGGGAAAAGGATTTATGACTATTTAACCTATTTATACATCTGGAAAGTTAGCTGTGCATATGAGATCACAAGGGTCAGTGTTAGGATCATTTGTGTTTCTCAATTTTATAAATGATTTTAGTTGTCATAAGTAGGTATAGGTCGGCCACGGAAATAGTGGTTTTATGACTTTACCTTTTCCAAACTCCTCGTTTGCCAAAAAGAGAGTAATTTAACTAATACCTCTAAACAGGTAAGCCGGTCCTTTATGAGAAACGTGTCTGCAAAACACAACAAACAACCATTATCTAAATTTGGGGTGGTGTCTTAACTTGCATCTACTAAGTTGCATTATTCGTTGATACGGGTAGCGAAGGAGTCATAGTCGTAAAACTGCATTGTTACAAAAGTATATACGAAATTGTATAACACAATATGTAAACATTGCTGTCAACAAAAGCAAGAATACATGGTGTTTACTTTAAAATAAGGTGATCAGTTGCCTATTGTCTTATCCGAAGAGAGAAAATTTCTAAGGGTAATTGTCGATTCTAAATTAATCGTGATATGAGAAAATTAGTAGGAACACTTATTTTATCAGCACTATGTAATTAACATAAAATTAGTTCTTATGTGTTTCGAACAATACTCTACAAACTATCTATGTCCCGATCTTATTGTGTCAGGCTTAAATTTTAGAGACGATTGTTGAAATGCCTTTAAGGGATCGCAGGTATTAAAATTTCCTTTTCTTTTTATCTTCCATAACACCCTGAACATAAGAGCCAAAATAAATGCATTTCATTCATATGAAGATTTTCATGAATAAAACATTCGTGGGAAAAATATATGGTAGAATGTAGACATAGGATTCACTATAGAACTCAAACGGTAGACAGGTAGCAGGCTATACGTTTTTATAATGGCGTGTCGGACACTATTAGATATTTGGGGGTAAGAGCACTCAAAAATAAAGTCAAAAGTGTATTCATAAATCAGAAATTCCACAGTTTCGACGTATTCTTAAATTTTAAATTTTTTGGTGGCATACCTACTGCAAGTAAATGTTATTTTAAACTGGTGTACTAAACTGAAGTAGCCTTTGGATATTGAATAGTTATAACTTCATAATAGCAAGTAGTGTAATTTTTAATATACAAATATTAAGAAAAATCTATTATCATTGATTTCACATAAAAACAGGTAACATATGATTTGATCATTTGAAGTCGACAGCCCTAATCCACACTAACGAATAAACTTCAATAACTGCAAAAAATAATAAAAACTATTTTCGAAGGTCATGACGACGAAACTCAAAAGAACTAAGTTTGATTCTCGATACTTCAACCAACATTAAATAATGTATCATTAAACATAAAAACTTTTCAGCTCACCAAAATTCCTTTGTTTGTTTGCTTTTGGTTATTCTAATCGTGAAACCATAATTTAAAATTAAACAATAAATCAGTACCAAAAGATAAAAGAACAAGAAAGAAACAGTCGTACCTATGTACATGTCTCTTACTAACAAGTAATAAAAGTTAAGCAACACGCTTTTTAAAGAAAAAAAAAATATATCAACAAAACAATTAAAGCTGAATAAGTATATTAATATAACTCTAAATGAAATTGTGAAATATCTACAAGAACCCTTTAATCAAAAGTTCAGTTTAAGTAAACAATTTTTTATTAATTAATGATTACAATGTAAATACTGAAATGAAAACATTGTTTTTGTTAATTTAAAATAATTTGAAGAATACAAATTAAGATATTCTGCTTTTAATTTATGGATTTTTATTAAAATTTTTGCCAACCTGCCACTGTAGGATTAGACCTATTAACATAAATTTGTATTATCCTAGAAATGAGTTTTTTGACTTGTTTGATCTCATTTTGATGCTGATTAGTACGTAAATTAACAAACTTTATTTCTTTAAGTTGAGAAAGAATGTTTCCAATTATCAGGCTGGTATAAGTGTAAATTTTTTCTCTATATAAGTACATTGTAAACACGGTGGACTACACGTAGGTAAACTGGGTTCACTTTAAGAGCTGAGTGTTAATTTGTGTTTAAGCTGTAAGAATCGGCCTATTCGATTCAGCTCTGAAATATCCATAACTTTAAATGTGAAATCCGTCCTAATTAATAATTATTGAAAACGTAATAAATAATAATCTAGTGAACTTTTACGTTTGCTGTAGTTTTACAGTATGTGGAATTTGTACTATTTTGATACCCCTGTCATGACGCAATAGTGCAATTCTCATTAAACCGTTGGTTTTTTCAGCACACCACTTTATTAAATAAAATTTTACCTTATCAGTGAGGTCACAAGTTCACCACGTGCTATCAGTAACATGGTGGGGCACCGGCTTAGCCCACGAACTTGCGTGAGGAGAGTCTCCGAGTTGCCGGCTTGTCGGTGTGTAGTGCCAGTTCTACGTACTCTTTCAGTAACTCAAATATGACATTGATTCAAATTTTCTAAATCAAAAACATGTAAATTTACGGTTTTTTACCTTTCTAGTAGAACTGTCTTTAGTGTGTACAATATTATCCGAAAATGCAATAAAAGAAATCAGTTTTTCGAGGCTGTTAAAGATGATCGTCACCAAACTCTTACTTTAGTTAACATAAACACCATACGGCAACTAGGTAAGTCCTTTTTCCACTTTGTAACTTCAGAGCATTAATCAAATACTTGAACCTACCTCAATGCATGTTCAAGGAGTGAAAGCATAATTGCTGCAGACAAGGTCGGTAGACTGAGCGCCGGTCTTTATTGATTAACTTGCAAAAACATGAGATAAGATTTTTAAAAATATCATTAATGTGTAAATAAATGCTATAGTTGACACGTTAATTGTAATTACAAACCTTGCCTGTGTACTTTTTTAAATTTAGTGCTTATATATTCAAATCATAAATTATTTTATGGTCATTACGTCAAACCATATAAGTATTTTTAAGTTTAATTTCTTCACATTTCCGATTATTTCAGTACATTACGTGGTTTTCTCCCTAATATTAGAAATTTCGTGGCATGAGTAGGTGTATTTTTTTCTAATGCAAAATTAAACTTTTATCACCTGCGATACAAGGGTTATAAAGATTTGCGTAGAAAAGATAAAAACATCGGATGTAATACTTATTACAGGCATATTTATGTGAAAACTGTTAGTCCATTGAACTTTATCTTTTGAATTCTGATACCACTTACTGCGGATGCGATTACCATAACATTCGAAATTTCGTCAAGAAATTAATCTAATTATTTAATTATAGCTAAATAAAAGAAATGTTTTCGTTCAATAGAATTTTTGTTGTGTTAACTGTTAAATACTTATGTGTTGTACTTACTTATGTGTACTCATGATTGGAATGTAAAAAAGGCTTCCTTATTACGTAGGTATTTTTCTCCAGACCGAAACAGATAAATAAAATTTCAGATAATAAAGATAAATGGTCAAATTTATTATCAAAATACATGGAAATTTTCCGTACTACGTAGCAGACAAATCTCACAAATTAGACCCGTGAAAGTGTCATCTTATCAAATGCTAATTATTTGGGAAGTGTAAAAGTGCCAACAATCATCTGGCATCTTGTACATACTAATTTAAACACAATTGCAACGACCTTACAATAAGACATGAATTAAGCCTTTAAATGAACTAAATTAAGCTAGACAGAATTCTCTAATTGTATACAAAACTGATAACAGAACAGACAAAACTATTTTCATTAAAATTTTCCGATAATAAATTTAGCGATTTACATAAAAATTCACTCGTATCTTATGAAACTCCTTGCTGGCGTCGCGTGATACAAGAAAGTAGTGGGGTGTCTAATGTATTCTGGGCAAGCTATTTTGAGGTTTTTATGCCATGCGGTAGGTGACTGATTCGATGAACTTGTATTTGTATCTCTATTTAAAGATTAAGACATTTTAACAGTTAATTTTAAAGCAGTGTTCACCTCGAGTTTTGCATAAAGGTGAGTTTTAGTACATGGCCGTTTTCTGCAGTAGATTTCTGCAACTAGATAACATTGAAACGGTCCTTGTATTTCTGTGTCACTAATAAGGGTTCTAAGCACGGTGGCAAATTTTTGCCAAATACACAGGATAAGCAATTTTGAAAATGTGGAAAAGAATTGATAAAAGAAAAGAAAGCATTTCAGTTGCAACTACACAATATAAATGTTGTAGAAAGCCCTTGTATGCAGCAAAGACGAGGTCAGTTTCGTTCTCGTTCCATTGATATACTAGCAAACTGTATCTAACAGGAGTGTCTACCTACGAAGTCTGTTTCTTAGGAACGGATTTTTAAAACGCAACGCGTATGCGTTCCACTGCAAGAACTGACTGAGCATGAATGGAAAATAAACTATTTTAACAAAAGCTTGGGTAGAATTGGTACACAGTTTCGCCCCCAGTCAATCGCTTGATATTATAAATAACTTTTTGATTTTTGTACTGCATTTCAGTAACCGGTTATTGAGGTTTCACATCTATCACATAAATCTAATCCGTTTTTTAAATAATTCAGATTTTTCTTTATTTGAAAATATTCCGATAAAACATTTTCATATTTTATTTTATTTTTAACTGTGGTTTTGTTTTACTCATTTAAAACATGATAAACTTAAATACATTAAGTTAAAAAGTATACACTGCGTTTAGTTTTTTGCAAAACTCTGATATATATTTGTAAGTTATTTTGTGCTGTAATGGGGTTGCACAATAATATTTTTACTAACTAGTATCAAAGTAAAATGGTAAGTTGTCACGGACAGGTTCTGCAGTGAAGTTACATTATTCAAAATTCCATTTTTTAAATAATGTATCTACTCATATTCATGATAAAATGAAATCAACAAAAATAATTGCTATTTTTTCACTATACAGTGTTTTTTGCGAAATCTTTGTAAGGCACTGCTTCATGAGGGGACCTTGCCAAACTGGTTCATAGTTATTTAAAAATAAAGCAGATATAATCAAAAATAACTGACCATGTGCGCAATTTATTCTACGTTATTTCGTTATACAACCCGTTTTTGTTATATAATGTCGCCCAAATGAAAATTTTCTCATCATCAGTTTTATTTAAATTTACAAAGATTTCAGAAGTTCAAAATGTATAGAAAAAATATTTATCAAACGAGGACGCAAGTCTTGTATAAAATTTCTTCATTGTGTTGATGGAGTGACAGTAATTTGCATCACAATGGCTATATTTTGACGTATGCAGTTATTATGCCACTTCAGAGGACTTCCAGCAGTGGCTCACAAAGATATTGGATTATCGACTTGATACTGTAGGTTCAAATTTCATGCACCTCTTATAGGTATGTTTCATTTCTTATAATCGCCCAGGGTAACTACAGCATCATTTAAATACAACATCTATTACAGTAAAAAGTTGTAATAAAAGCTCCAAAAAAAAAACAAATAATGCATAAGACAGTATATTGATACATACAGGTGTCTGAACAGTTTGGTGGCGGGAGATAACGCATTTATCTTGAACTAATACTAAAAAATGTTTGATGCTATCTAGTAAAACTCGGATTACTATTTAAAAATATTTTCAAATATACAAGAGGCTCCATTTAAAGATTATAGATTTAAGTTGCAGTTTTTAAATAGAACACCTATAGATATTTATATATTTAGATTCTTAGTGAAAAAAGGAAAACAAATATTTTGGGCACAAGAGTTTTTGACCAAGAATTCTGATAAGATATATTTATAGCATTTATAGATTATATAAAAAAATTCTCACATGTGAAAATTCACACCTCAGTATTCAGTATTTTTTAAAATGGTGGTTTGGAATTTTGCATACAACTTTTTGGTCACATGTTGCTTTTAAATAGGACGACCATACAATATACAGTTTTTTAAGATTTTGAAGTTTGCGTCTAAAGTAATCTTCCTTCTACTGCTAGAATAAGCTTTAAGTAAAATAAACTAATCTTCCTTGAAAATTATGAGAAGACAGACAATTTGCAAATTGAATCACCCTATACAAATAAATTAAAATATTCTTCAATTTTTATACGTTTTAAAGGTAAATAAAAAGTTTTGTGTAAAATTCTGGTCGAATTGGGAAAACCCTTTATGTCTGAGGCTGCGGTATGTTTTTTCAGTTAATTCATAGAAAATGCGTAATAGCAGTCATAACAAAAGTTATCAAAGTGTATATCTCTTTCCACAAAATTAAATAGGTTAGCGATTAGTCAAATGTTGATACCTACTTAAAAATTTTGAAATTTGTAGTAACGAACATTTAAATTCTTCATCTATTTTTTATTAAATATTTCACGTTCTGAGACAAAAGGAAATGACATAGTGACTGATCATAAATAAATTAACTTATATTTTCTAGGCAAAGTATAATTATTTCAATTTTTTTTTTAATTTATAAAAAAAATTGTACCTACACTTAATTTTTATAACACTATAATACATGCAATTTCTCCAAATTAGATGACGCTAGGTACTAGAAAACATTTTAAATGATTTTGTGTCTGTCGATTTTAATTAAAATTCTGCGCATCAAACTTTGTATTCATTTTAAGTGATTTGAGAATGTTTCGCTAAAGAAGTGTCTAGTAAAATGCAAGGTGTTTCATCTCATTTGTACGATCTCGAAATATGTGCAAACTGAAAACAGCGATCGCCCGTATAAAACAGAATAGGTGTAAATTATCTGCATAGAGCAGAATCGATGCGCGTGTAAATAATCGTCTTAAGAGCATTTAGATTTAAGCAGATATCGTGCAAACGAAGCCAATTTTTGATTTGTAGTAGAGAAAGGACGTTTATGGTATGTAAACTAGTAGTACTGTGGAGAGTGTTTGTGGAGTTTAAAAATACAAATTACTCTATTTAACGACTCATCCTTTCCGCTACCTACGATACAATTCGATTTCATCAGGCTGATAAGTTAATATAATGTTATATAATAATATAATTAAATACAATAAAAAATATCATGTCATTATCTCTTACAGATTTCGTCGTATCACCCAGTTGTATTTAAAATTTTATTTGTTTGTTCTATTTAAATTAATTTCGGGAGTAAAAACCGGATAAATAAAATATGCTGTGCAACTTGCCAAAAACATATTTTAGTTAACTTGGCATTATTATTTTTAGCTATACGTCCTACAGTAAATCTGTTACATAGTATAAAGATAACAAACAGTTATATTTTTTCCTTTTGTTTGGAAGTCAACCCATGCACATGAAGTTGAAAAGGGGAGATAAAACACCATTCTGTGTTTTATATTTTAAGTAATATCACAATATCCACTTTGTGGAGGGGCTGAATACATTGAAAATAGAACAAATTAAATTTACTTAACAAATTTAATAAGATCTAAAAAAACAGAAATATGAAAGAGGAAACGGACACAGAAGGCATAAGAAATTTGCATTTTTGTATTCGACGGTAGGTGGAAATAAAAAAAAACATTGATCACGACAGATGAATGTACCACAATAATTTGGTCCAGTTCTGAGCCTATTTGGGATGTAATTTGGTTGAAATAGGTCTACATTTATCTAATGTATCATTTAATCAATTTAAATTAAAGTAAATTATTAGATAAATATGACGACTGAACAACACGACATACATATCAAGCCTGCACAGACAACTCTAAATATGAAGACTTGTTACAATACGTAAGACTTTTAAACACAAACTGGAAAGCTACGTAACATCAAACGTAAAACTAAAATCTTATAATCTAGAAATGTGTAAAATATATGCTGCACGGTGTATTGAAATTTACACAAAATTCAAGAAATTTTGTTCGTCGAGGATTCAAGAATATCTTTTTATAATGAACTTAATTTTTATTGAAAAATAATAACATATTGTTCGATAAAATTTTGTTCTTGAAAAACAGGGTATCTTACAAACAGTTTTTTAAGACTGCGGATCTTGTGACACGGCATTTGAAACCTCTCTCATTGTCGGTTTTAAAATGTTTAGAGTTAAAAATTACCGTCTGTTGTGTGATGAAATAACGAATCTTGGAAATTTGTAAACAACTATGTAAATAAAACGAGCAAAGAAAAATTGTACAAATTAACACAGATACTGTGGTCATAGTAATCATTATAATTATATAAAGCAAAAATATCACTAATTAAAAGCTAGTGTTCAAAATATTTGTGTTTTAGTTGGCAATTATTTTTTAGTTTTTATGAATTTTGGTAATTCAGTTCTTATTAATAATTTTTAACGAATTAACACGCTGCTCTTTTCTACCTCAAAAAGTTTTTATTTTTTTCAAAAAACTTAATTTGCATATAAAGTCTATCATTAAAACATGACTGCTTCAATGTATAGTACGGAAAATTAATTTCCGTGTAACCAATAGAGTGATTCTGAGCAAATTTAGGAAAGAATCAGTATAAATAAAGATCTCTTATCACGTTGAAAATTTGGTAAGTACCACATCTTCGAAACTTTGATAGTTTTCTATTTTTGTAATGAAAACTAATTCTTGGATGCAGTTTCATTTATGAAAATTGTTCTAATCAAAAAATTCTAATTACCGAAAGAAAATATTAACAAAATCACAACACTTAATAAACTATCATGACCGTTTCTTATGTCATTATAAAGACATTAATCTGACGAAAGTGGTTTGAAAATTTTTGACAACTTTTCAAAAAATGTCGCTGAGGGTAATTCGAGAGCTTTCGACAAGCCGTTCGAAAATTCAAGAATGATTCTTGATATCAGATGGAGATTTTAAAATAACTTCCACCATCTGCCGAAATTTTCCACATGACTTCTGAAACCACTTGTTCGTAAAGTTTTTTAAATTACCTCTAAAAGGAACGAAATAATTTTAATTTGGCAAACAGACATGGAGAAAAATAATTTCCGAAAATTTTTTTGTTTTTTGAGTGTTTAGCTTAATAAAATACGCTTTCCAATAAAATATCCTTTCAAATGGTTGTAATTTTTATAATATTTCTTTCTCATTTCACGAACTAAGTATAAATATCTTAAAAAATTCTTAAATTTTGATATCTTAATAAGTACCTACATATAAAATTACACTACAAAGTATTTAACATGCAGAAGGAAAACATTCCTTTTTAGTATTACGATGTCATACAACATCTTGTTGAAGGTCACAGAAATTTGAATCGTTTTCGTTTAATGTCTTTTTAACAAATAAACTAGATTATAAACAGATTATTCTTTGATTAAACAAGTATTAAACTTTAATGAATTTGTCTTAAAAGATGAACGCAATGGAAAATAACCAAAATAGTACTGTGCCAATTTTTGATCAGCGTTGCTGTTATTGTGTAATTATTTGTATTTATTTTAAATTTAGTATTTACATATATCCAGTAGCACATTTTTTTTATATAAAAACAAGTTAATTATGCGATAATGCGTTTGACCAATTTTTGTAGACATTAGGCATTATATTATTTTCAAATATTACACATTCTATTGAATCATATAATACACCTTAAAGTTTAAAACACTTGGCATTAACTTTGCCAGCTATATTTAACTCAAATACTATTGAGAAACCACGGGATGTTCTGTATTTTGATGCCACATTTTTTTCAGCACTCAGTGTCTCGGGGTAATTTACGAAATGCTGGTGTCACACAGTCCTCCCGTGTTCAGTCACAGCCCTCCAACAGGCTTCCTCTCCGAGTACTCTTCTTTTCGACTGAATTCAGACCATTTTCCACGAATTTGTCGCTCCAGTACTCAAGCATCACTACCAATCTCTAAAAAGATATTTTCGAGAATGCCGGCGTCTCCCAAAAGGCCGTGCTTAGTTATACGCCCTGATGAGAATTCCGTATCCAGCGATGAAGATCCTGTAAGTCCTACTCGTATGAAGAAAAAGGTGGTATTCGCCGACGACAAAGGCATGTCATTAACGCACGTGCGTGTTATGACTGAACCTTCAAATGTGCCACCTCTGTGGAGCTACAGATTCTTAGCAGAAGTAACTCAAGGGCTATCTGCCGAACCGGAAGCTCAAGATGAACCATGGGAGATAACTTTTCCACAACCAGCTTCAGATTATGTGGATTTTCGCAAAAGACTGGAAACGAAAAAGGTAAAATCAAGAGAGATTCAGTCCTATGTTAAAAACTGTTAACCGCCCTGTCGTTTTAGGTTTCACTTGAAAACGTTATAATCAAAGAGACTGAAGAAACTGTCGTCGGAACAGTAAAAGTTAGCAACCTTTCGTTCAAAAAAGAGGTTGTGGTTCGAGTATCTTTTGATAATTGGGACACTTACGAAGATATTTTTTGTAACTTTGTACCGAGTTCATCTACATCTTCTGGGAGTTCGGCATATGTACTGTACGACACTTTTTCATTCAAGATACCACTACGATTACGAACAAACAAAATAGAATTTTGTATTTGTTTTCAATGTGAAGGGACTGAATACTGGGACAATAATAATAGTAGCAATTACATAATTATGAAGAAAACAAGTATGCCGTCCATGCACAAATCCTTCTCAGCTGATGATATTTACAATAAGGACAAAGTGGTTGCTCCTTCTTTGACGTCGACACCGAAGTGTGCTGATGCAGTGCAAGCTAAATTAGATTCCTGGTCGGAATTTGCTAGCTGGAACCATTTAGAAAATTCTAGCCCTTATTGGTGAATGTTGTCATGTGTCTTGAAGATAACAATTTTACGACTGAATACAAGGTGAGTGTTGATATTTGCCGATTCTATTGTAGTGTTAAAATTGCATTACTTTCTATGAATAACAAATCCTACTAATTTTACACACCTGGGCTTTGCCTACAGAAATTTTTATAACCTATAAAGGTATTCTTGTTGTAGTTTAAATTTTAAGAGTGTGAACTCATCTTTGCTCTTTCATTTTTCACTTGATCTTGATGCGAATGATCCCATTTTATGAATATACATTTACGAATTAACAATTATTAACTAGGTTATTACTAACTTATCTCCGTTTACATTTATTGGAGGCCGATTGTATGTTGCAATTTCGTAAATAATATGACAAATACATGCAAAATAACTGATAATTCTGCAAAAAACTTGCGCATAATACTGTAAAATGAGTGTTTTGTCTAGAGTTGGGTTCCTGTTCATATACACCTGATATTCGGTAGAAATTTTTTAAAACAAAAAGTGACAGTTACATAAGTTACAGTTGATTAAATTTTAGTAAGTTCCTATAAATTATAATAATTGATATAATAACAGTTTGAAAATGCAGTTGTATTATCATTATCTTGTTTACTCTGCTTGAACTATCATATCAGTTATCAGTATAATTGTCACAAAATTTTACGCATTTTTCTAGTAATTTATATAGATATAGGAGAAATTTCAAAAATAGATTAGTAAGTTTAATAGAGTTTTCCTAAATAGAAATATTCTGAATAACCTAATTCAGAATTAATTGATTTGAAACTATTTCAGCGGCGGTACATTATCTAAATTAAGTACTAAAAAATATGCAACTGTGTACCTTCTGTCCATTTCACAGAGTTCGAGCTTTATAACTGGTATTACTCCTCCAGGTATAAAACTAAAACAGCTTTGTTTTTTTAAATGCATCTTTTCTAGTTGACAATTTTATTAACTCCTATAACAGGAACGGTTAATATTATCAGGTCCCGAAAATAACTTATTAATAGCTACACTTTCGGGATGAAACTCAATTCAAATTATAAATTTTAACCTCGAACTTTTCGATATGCTCTATCACTACCTTGAGCTGTATTGCTTATTATTATACTTGGTGTAATTCTTGGTGTCCATATGTTTCTGAAAATTTATGCGCCATGCTTGCGTACAATATTTACTATACCTATCCATCATATATCGGAAATTGTGAAAAAATAAAAGCACAGTTTGACAGTTGATTATAATTTCTAATTCTGTTTCAACAAAGCGTACACAAGTTAACGCTGACATTGATTTGACATTCATTTATTCGTCTTGTTGGCTGCCGAAAGCAACTATCTTTAAATACAAATTCTAAAATGTTACAAAACAACCTGCAAGAAAATGTTTTCATCCGTGTAACAACTTGCTATATTTAATTTAGTAAATTTAATCCATACTCCATGTAAACAGAAAGAAGACTACCGAACTAAAATTTTGAAAAATATATTGGTGTGGTTCGAATGCAGTAACGAGATCGATTTTCGTTTAAATTTAAATGAAACTGTTGGAGTAGAGTCAGTATAAACCAATCGCTGTATTAAGTAAGAAATATCTGCAAAGAACAACATTGTTTACTGGAAGAAAAGCTTACAGATTAATCCTTTCTTAGTCAAATAATCTACTTTCAGAGATAATTTCAATTAACGCGATGAGGTGACTTGGACAATACGCAGATTACCTATTTTATCAAAGACAAATATTATGTTAACAATATCTTTAAAAATGTATTTCATGATACCTATTCGTCGCAAAAATATTGTGTTAATAATAACTTAACTGTCTGACCTCCACGTGACATGCTCATGTCTTTGCTGGATAAATATTTGATTTTACCGTAATCGTGATGACTGCATGAACAGTGTAATGTAAAATTTAATTTTGCTTTGAAAGAAGGGATACCGTTTGATTAGAAACGTGAGGTGATGATGGGTTTCTAATTTTTGCAATTATAAGTACTTTTCCAAAAGACTGAGTTGAAAATATGTTATATTCATAAATATGCCGTACAGTAACGACGATGAATAGAATTTACAATATTCAATGCCGATATCCGTTATTTCAGACATTAGAACTACAGTGCAAAAATGATAGATGGTGTATTGATTGTCTAACAAAGAGGTCAAAATATTTACTTTTTTTATTTTGTTTCAGAATCGCATGGTGTCCGTGAATTCACAGTTGCCAAACGAAGCGATCTTAGGGAGAATTTAACGACTGGATACTTCTAGAATAGTCATTCTCTGCTATCGATCTGTGCAAATTTGTTCCTGTTTTGTTTAATTTTAGTTACAGCGGAAGATAGAAGTTAGTCTTTGACTGGATCTGTGATATGAACTTACAAATTTTGGATAAACAGTTTTAAATGATTACAAGTGCCAAACCGCGTAGCTGTGCCTTTAGTGTCAGTTATTAGAAGATATTTTGTATTACACAAAGTATCTACTGCGAGAAAAGACTGATTATAAACGTTGCATGGCTGTCTACATTTTTTTTTCTTTTTGTAATAAATTATTATATACTTAATAAGTGATGAAATCCACCTGGACGAATCACATTAGTTTTACCCGTACTTTTGGTTTGATATTATCTTTGTTTTTTATGTTTTAAAATATGGTGTTTTGCAGTACATAAATGTATTTTTATAGCGTAATATGTTACTATGTATATGGTTTTAATGTTTTCTCTAGGTACATATGTTGTCTTTTTTAATTGTGTATTATTTTTTTTCTTTGTAACTTAAGACACTACTACACATTGTTATAATAGAATGGAAGTGTTGTACGTTATGTATGTAGATATTACCATCTCACTGAGTTTTTCTTTCATATTGTGGAGATCTTGTTAATAAAGGTGTTGACATTACATATACATAACATTCTTTTTTATTTTTTCTAGATTTTGTTTATGTGACATATGCTCCCACGTGACTGGTACCATGTATAACTTGCAGCATTTGATTTCACCTTCTTCTAGATATCTGTCATCCAAAAATGTACCTACGTTTTAATGTATAAGTTTGCGATGATATTGTTAGGTTGATCGATAATAATTAAAATCGGCGTGGGTAAAACTCGGCAATTTATTTCACAGTGATACAAAACTACACGACCAGCTAGACTTATAGAGATTATGTACAGGATAATTCCGACTCGATCGGAATGGATTCGACTAGACTCAAATTCTCTCATTTACTGGACTCGATTGACCGCTTCCGGCAGTGGTCCATATTTAAGCAGTTACCGATCATCACCGTACATATTAGACAACCCATAGGGGTCCTGCCGCGACGGCGTATGGGTTTATTTCGTAAGAATATGTGCCGCAAATAATAATAATACTGTTTCTATTCCTTGCGGCACATATTCCATCTGGTGGGTGTACAACTTATTACAAGAGGAATTGTTTTCCCTCATGTACCTACGCATTCAGTTGATGGAGAAAAGAAGGGTAATAATCATAATCTTGAAAATACTTGTTTGGCGATACATTAAAATATTTAATATTTTCCGGGACCGTTTCGATGGAATTGTGTGGATAGATTGTGATATGTACCTTTTTCATATTCTTTTCTTCTTTTGAGAAAATGACGCTACATATTATTAGGTACAGTTTCTTGTAGTTTCAACATATTTCCAAAACAAAATTCTATTAATCCAAATTCCACAGAAATAAGATAAGAGATTTTCGAATCATAAATGAAGAAATTTTTAAATTAGTTGCAAAAACAACTAATAATATTCTTAGAGTAAAGTCATAAGCTGAAACGCTGAAACAAAGAAAGATGAAATTCTTAAATTTCTTCAGTTTTTTCTAGCAATTAAGCGTATATTTCAAAGAGACAATGTTTGTCTCCACACAGTTACAGAGCCATATTATATTTTATTTAGAAAGCGTGCCCACAAATGTATCAAGGGCTGTTTTGAAATGTCAAAAAATATAACTGTGGCAATAACTAACAAGACCAACCTTGATAAATCGACACATTGTATAAGCTATTTGAGTCCAGTGGTTATACATGCAATCCAAAATGTAACACACGTGAAGTGACATCAACCAAGTCAATTGTATTAAAATTTCGGAGTATGTTAATCTACAAGGAGAAGGAATCATTCAGATCATTTTTATTCTGATGTACATATATCTAAAAAAAGATTATGTGAAATGAAAATGTTTTACTGTAACACGGTAAGAACGGACGGAGATGAAATATTAAAAGTTTCAGTACTTAAAAAAATTGATCGAAGGTTAATTCGACAGAACTTCGCTCACGCCTAAAGTACAGTTGAACAAATATCGAAAAATTATCACATTTTACTTTGAGAATGTTTTTTTATGATGACCCCTATGAGCTAAAATTAATATATTTATCGATTGTTAAAGTACAGGTAAACAAGCACTCGCCTGCAATGTTTCTAGTGAGCTTTTCCGTACAAAAATTTATTAATGACGCCATCAACATTGTAGCAAGATCAATTTGAATAAGTACAGGGTAACACTATTAATAACAGTACCGGATTCTTAAAATGGGAGGGGAAATAAAACATGTCGCCTCATTCATTAATTTTTTTGAGTCACCTTGTATTAGCAATTCAAAAAAATATGTATTCATAGATAAACGACAAGTATAGACTCTTTAATATTGTGCATATTTTAGATTTACACATATGTGTATTTAAATTGACGATTCACTATAATTACGATAATCGTAAGACGTTTGTAAAATTCCAGAGCATTGGGTTTTGCAGTTTCAAAGTTAAATTGCAAAATGTTATTAACAAAAAATATATTGGTACTTAGTTCTGAATGTTTTCTACAATAAAAAACCTAGAGAAAATATTAAATTAATTAACCTAGAATTTCAAACTTAAAAAAACCAGTCAACTAAATTCATTCAACTATCTAACAAACCGTGTTGTACAGGTTCTAATGCACTTATACCGAAATGGGTGTTTTTAGCGGACAGCGGCTGGATTCTACTTGTATAAAGATTTACCTAGTTCAGACAATTTCTGGTCTAGGAAGAGTGGCCTGCGTCTAGACCGAGCTATTTCTAGCATTCTTTTTACGTTTGTTATTGAGTGTACTTAAGATAAACGCCCATGTTATGATTTTATCGGATTTTTCTTGATTAAGACTTCCTAAACTGTTATTATAAGATTACTACTCTAATCCGTAAACAAAGTTTTTATCTATAGCTAAACTGCACGTCGCCTGATCTAATCTGGAATATGTTGCCAATACAGAGTGTTCCAGATAAAACTCTTCGGAGTTATATCTTGAGAATGGATAGAAATATCTATTGCAATTCTGTATAAACCACTGAAACAACAAGGGCTCAATAGAAATGGTAAAGTAAGTATTTTACATCATTGTAATCGTGATTTAATAAATCTATCAAAATCGATTAAAAATTGTATACGGGGCAATTTAAGAAACAAAGGTTTGTATCGCGACACCGACGCCATTTATACGTACGTCATATTTGCACTGTTACAATGGTCTTTACAAAATTTCAATATCTCTATCCATTCTCAGAATTATAAGGCCGGGGAATTTTATTTGTATATTAGACTGGACATGATTTTTAATGTGTTTTTATTCTCTTTTAGAAACATAATCTTGTTTATAAGCACCCAAATGCAGGCATAAATTGGCCTTTATGACACAAATCAGTTAAAAATTGCTAAGCAACGATTGATGATTCATTTACATTAATCAATTAATTAATTATTCAAACAAGTTTCGATTTTCAACATTTTTATTAAAGTTGGGAAAATAATAGGTATTTCATCAAACCATTCCCTAACTTTAGATTTTCTAAAATTTTTTTTGAATAAATGTTTTCCCCTTCTTCAGTTTCCATTTTGAAAATCGATTATTTAACAAATAAACAACATGGTATCCACAACAACATCAAAATAATAGCCAGCTTTGTATTAAAGTTCTTATCGGCACAATTCAATCTTGCCGGAAATACCTACTCAATATTTCGTTAAAAATATTTTAGAAACTAAAATAAAATAAAACGTTGTACGTATCGCGGGCATAATTGTCGATTGTGCCCTTCGGGAAATTAAAAGCCCTCCTTCGTCGGGCTTTAACCATTCCCTCGTGCCATAATCTCCTTAATTAGGCTCTTAATATATAAATAACTATTATAGTTGTTGAAGGTAGTGGTGTATTAAAATTGTTGTTAGTTTGTTGTCACCATTCCTTTATTTTGTTTATCATTCGTTTAGAGACATTATATTATTGAATTTTATCACCAACTTTGTTAAAATGTAGTACATTAACAAGTAGGTACCAAAACAAATATATAGATACTCTGCCCACTGACAATTGTCTTGCGGAAAATGACACCAATGGTAATTGGTGCCACCCATTTTACAGAAAACGCTGAATGCGACATGCAATAAAACAAATTAATTATTTTAAATGTGCTTTATTTAAATGAATTAATATTCCATTTACAAACTAAACTTTAATAATTAAAAAACTACGTTTGATTCATATTTTACGTCATCATGAATATTTTTTAAAATATCATGTATCCACTCTACATACATGCCGACTTTCGTGAAAATTGTAAAATAATTTGGATCACAAAACGAAGTTCCTGGACGCCGCGGGCTTATACTTACAATTCCTCGAAGAAAATACTTTGTGGGATTTTGGGCTGAAGGAAACATGAGTCCTCCACCGCTATCGCCATTACAGACTCCAGTTCCTGAAAGTAATCGATGAGGATAAAGGTTTTCCCACAACCTTATATACAACTAGACTTCATATGTGTTAGTTTACTCGAGAAAGCAACGTTTTTTATTTTTTAATAACAATAATAAATTTGTCGTAATCATCATATACGGAGTCGGCATAGATTTTGTACCTAATTAATGCTGTGAAAAATGCAATACCCTAAAATATTTTTATGACAATCTTTTGTTTGACCTAAAAATTTGTCCATTATAAAAGCTTAAGTTTTTATGAATTTGTTGTATACCTATCATACTATGAGTGGATGCGATTACGGCAAGTATTACAGAAAAGAGTTGGACCAAGAGTTGTATTCAACAAGACAATGCAACAAAAATAGCTAATGTAAAAAATTAACTCAAACAGAAAAATTATAGGGGAGTAAAATTTGATTTTGCGAAATTTTATTATTATTTTTTTTTATAATAACCTGCGTATAAGTTAAAATAATGTCTGGAGGGTGAAAATGGAGGGTTAAAATACAAATAAAGAAACAGACTAGGCGTGAGTTTTTCCATAACAAAAATTTTAGCAATACACGTAAGTTTGAATAGGTTCAGTAGTGTATTAACTAGTATTAACTTAGTATTAGTAGTAGTATTAACTAATAATAACAGTACTGTCAAAACTTCCCAAATTTTCAGGAAAATGGGGTGAACCGTTCTTGATTTGATCAATAAAATAAATTTCTTCATTTTTTAATTTTTTTTAAGTCACGCGTATGAGCAATTCTAAAAAATATGAATTGATAAACTACAAATATAGAATCATAGTACATTTTATAAAGAATTTATTGAGTAAAATTTTGATATGACGTCTTCAAGTTTTTGGGGGCAAAAATAGATAAATTTTGATCAGCGATTTACCATGCTTACGATGCAAAATTTCAGAGGATTCTGTTAAACTATAAAATGTTGTTATAAAATTTTGCTTTTTTTCCAAAAATCTGGATATCGAGGGTGAAAAATCAAGGCCAATTCGTAAACCATGAAAATAAGAGTACGTTATTTGATAAAATTTATGTACCATTTAATGTGCAAAATTTCGAGGTGACATCATCAGTTATTGGACAATCAGACAAATTTTTCTTAGCTCTTTACCATTTACACAATATTCTAAAATATACACATAAAATTTCACAAAATCAATCCAGTAGTTTTGGAAACTTGCCAATAGACAACAGACGACAGCTAGACGGCAGTTAGACAGAAACGGGGATATATTTTTTCATACTCTAGGGGTCATGAAACGTCGAGAAAACGTGAAAGTAGCCTGCTACTTCGGTTACGGAACACGAACAATTGGAATATAGAGTACAATACTTCCCTAGATTACAACAGGGAAATGAAAATGACATTTGCGCATAATCTATTGTAACACGATTGTTTTCTTTAAACTTGAATTTTCTACACTATTATTGTAGATCCTTTTGAAGGATTGCGTACACGCTCAGCTGTGTTCTCACTTGTCAAGAATCCATAATCCATGCGTCCATTCTTGTAGCATCAAGAATTTGTAGGTTGTCTGCGATTGGTCAGTTTCACTTAAACGCAGCCATTTCATTGGTCAAATTTATTTGCGTTGAATTGTCCTGTTTTCAGCTTCATGAGCAAAAGTGTAAGAGCTAGGGATCGATTTACTTTATAGGTATATTTCACTACTCATTAAAATCGGTGAATGAAGTCTTGTATGTCTTGTATTTTGGAATCAATAAGGAATGCCCGTTTTGCCAACTAATACCGATCGGAAAAATCAACCCCTACTTCCTAAAGGAGCTAAAAAAGTTTATAATTTCTATTAACTAGCAGGTCTGGCATTTGAAGATGAGTCGGTAGTTGTTGTGAAGAACAATACTTCCAGAACATTTTCACTGGATAATAAAAAATTGTATATAGTTTTTTTTTGTTTATAAATTGGTCTGATGAATACTTCGAAATAATACCAGAACAAAATTCCATCACCAAACCGTCGCCAAAGGCGCAAAAACCTTTATAAATTTCGGGTTGTTTATTCCATCCGGTATCATTTGCCAGAACGGACATCCTTTATTCTGTAGGTATACAAGATTTTGGTTATTGATTGATAAAAAAGAAGCCCAGTTATAGATTTATTCGACTGTTATTCGAGTTCCTTAAGGCTGGCGTCTGGTTCGGTTTAGCCCTATACTAAATACATTGAAAACATCGTCGCGGTTTCCGGAGTTGCATTTTAAAAATATGAGAAATATCGCTTTAAAAAAATTATATTTCGAATTAACAAACTTCAGTCCAGGGGACCTCCATATTTATATTCATATCTAGTATGCAGTTTTTACAAAAAAAAATTATAAAGTTGAACAACTTTTACATCACATTTTAACCGGCACATTGATGCATTTTTTGACGAAGTGCTGAAGTTTTTTGCATTCTGAGATAGGAGGTCCCCTGGGGAAAAGTGTCAGCTTTCTTTTGATACCATTTATCTATACTTATATAATAAAGCTGAAGCTTTTGTTTATTTGAACACGCATATCTCAGAAACTACTGGTTCAAATTTAAAAAATCTTTTTGTGTTGGATAGTCCATGTATCATATCTACATATAGGCTATATAACATCACGCTACGATCATTAGGAGCGAAGTAGCAATGAAAAATTCGGAAAAACGGGAAAATTATTCCTCCTTTGACAGCTTCCGTTGCTTACGCTGCTTAAACGGTTAAAGTTACGTAAAAATCATGTGTGACGAAATTGTTCCCCTCTAAAGGTTCTAAAGAAAAGTCCGCGACAGCATATGTCTATCTTTTAAGGTCGAATCAGTATAACCTTTTTTATGGTAATGAAATTTGTTCTAAAATAATAACGCATTATGTATAAAATTCTCGCGTCACAGTGTTTGTAACCAAACTTCTCCGAAATGGGTTGACCGATTTATATGAAATTTTTTATGTATATTCGGTAGGTCTGACAATAAGTTGTAAACTATTTTTTAAGCCCCTAAGTGATAAGGGTGGCCCACCCTAAAAAATGTTTGTCTATTTTTTGGACAAAATTTTTTATTTTTATTTTTTTAAGATTTGGCACCAAAAAATACACATAACCCTAAATTTTCACCTTTCTACCACCAACCCCCATTTTTTAATCGTCTATAAAATAAAAATCAATTGTTGTTCCTGTTAGTCTCGCTAAGACTCAAAAACGGCTTGACCGATTTGAAATTTTTTTTATATTACGGGGATGGTTTATAAATAAAAAAAATAAGGATAACTTAAAAGAACAGTTAAAAAATAAAAACATTCTAAAAATTTTGTATGGGAATTGCCACTTGGAAATAATTTCAATAGTTGGCGTTTCTGACGGACCTGTCGTCTAACTGACGTGTCTACAAAACTAATTCTTCCGTGCAATTGTGAAAAGTATATTGCATTTCAAATCGTTCTTTGTTTTTTCGTAAAAAAAAAACGTCGTTTATTTTAAGAAAAGTCTTGGTTAAAGGGAATTTAATTACACATTGCGAAAGTTTCTTATTAATTTTGATCTGCCACTCTATTTACCTATATTCACTTTGTTGGTTTCGACAAAACCTCAAACTTTACCGTTATTCGAGGATTTAATTAGAAGTTTTCAATATTTTAAAATTCTCAAGACAAAATTTACAGATTTGATTGACTGTGAAAATAATTCTCTGTCGTTTTATGAAGTTCATTAAAATGCCGAGAAGACGACAACCTCACATAGGTCCACGAAGTCATTCAAATGTGGGACGAACTACCTCAGGTGCAAACCGCAATGATTTATTTCAGGGGTAATTCGGATATGGATGTTGATCAGCGTTGTGCTCATAATCAACTTAATCAAACATTGAAGCGAGACAATGAGTGGTATGAATAAAACTGAGTAGGAACTAATATTCGAAGTACGAAGTACCTACTTCATTATTACTCTTATATACCTTAGCATCTACTCTATGTACAGAGTACCTACTTGGAAACATTGTATCTCCCCGGACACAAATTGAACATCTACGCGTTTTGTGAGCATTTAATCTAAAAATGAGCAACGGCGTGGCAAATAACTGAGCTGTCCGTAAAGCCGCTTAGAAAACGAGATCGTTGTAAGAATGAATTTTGACTAAACATGGCGACTTTCATGAACGTGGAACGTCGTCAAAAGGTGCATTCAGTTTGAAAAACACATTAGGAGCAGGAATATCGAAAACTTTTCATGTAATTAACTTTTATTTATGCATAAATTGTGCCGTGCGTTTTTTATAACACTGGCCATAGAGATTCCCATCTCAAGGTGTCTACCCCATACTAACTTATATTTTGGTGACTCGATTTTTGTTTTGATGGTTGAACACTGTCACTGTTGTCCTTTTTTGTTGTATCGAGATGCTACTTGAGCATCAACTGTTACCTACTGAAGTATTAATATCATCTAGAAAAACTAGAAATATTTTGATTTGATATTCGAGTAGATACTTCGTATTTCGAGTATGAGCATCTACTGAGTTTTATTTATATCAACCATTGTCAAAAATTGATCGAACGTTGTTTCAACGCACCAAAAGTATAATGAAACATATTTAGCATTTTCGAGTTGAGTCTTTTCTTCACACAATTTTGTGATGACCTAATCAATATTTACGATCAACACGTATACCACCTTGGATTGGTGCAGTGTAAAACTAAAAATAACTGTATTGTATTCCAAAAATTTTCTGCGAAAATCGAGTGAGCCATTCCATCAATTTTTTGGGGGCAATAAATAAATATTCTTAACAATTTACCATGCTTACAATAACTTTAAAACGTCTGCAAGATCTCAAAGTATACATTTTTGCAACTCTTGAGTTATTCACTAAAATAAATTGACTGATCCATATATTTTTTTGAGTCACTGTAAAAGCAAATCTAAAAAATATGAATGCAATGATGAATTACGAAAATATGCTGATGATATTTTCCACATTTTGTATAGGATTTATTCGGCAAAATCTTGAGATGATGTCTTCAAGTTTTTGGGCTTGATAAACAGATATATTTTGATTGAAAACCTACCATGTCAAACAGTAACTTCAAAACCTCTGCAATATTTCAAAATTCAGTTTTGCAATTCTTGATTCAATCAATAAAATAAATTGACTCAGTGATTAATTTTTTTGAGACACCCCCTATAAGCAAAACTAAAAAATATGAATGGAATGATAAATCACAAGTATAATCTCATCCTATTTTGGACATTTTAGATAGAATTCATTTGGCAAAATTTTGGGCTGACGTCATCAATTTTTTAGAGGAGATAAGTAAATATATTTTGAATAAAAATGTATTATGCTTATCATATGTTTAAAACATCTGCAAGATTTCAAAGCATTCGATTTTGCAGATTCAAAATTAAATTGTAGGCGAAACGAAGTTCACGGGGTCAGCTAGTAATATTATAAAAAATCCACGACTGAGGTAAATAACTCGCGAAAAGTCAAAATCTATTGAAACGAGAAATCGGCATTAAACGAGCTGTGATGCGGTAGCAGAATGCAGGTTTACTTAGATTCTGACTTGGTTGGAGATTTCAGTATTTTAAAAATGCAATTCCGGAAACTACGACGATGTTTTCAATGTATTTAGTATTGGGCGAAAGCGAACCAGACGCCACCTTTAATGAACTCGTCACCAAAATAACTACTTATTTACTAAATGCATAAATAAAATTCATTTTAACATCAGTTTTCGTGGTTAAATAATAATTATTAAAATTCAGAGATTTATCGATGATAAATACTCTTACACTAAATAGGACTAATACAAGATTTATTCCACAACAAGTTACCGATATAAAAATTTCTATCTCTCCGAATTAAAGATTTCAAATCAATGACACGACTTGTACAGAAGTAACGACCACCCACATTAATCTTGCCGCTCCTTACAACGCCCCCTGTCTTGGCAACATCACCCCTGCTTCCCGGTTAAAACCCGTACCGACACTAGTTTCTTCTGTGTTGGATGTTAATTAGAAAAATTTGTGAAACGGTGTAAACATTCTCAAAAAATAACTTACGTAAAAAGTGTGTATAACCAGTGAATAATTAAACAAAACAGCTATATAAGTACCTAAATATCGCCCTGCACTAGAAGAGGTAGGTACATTAGATGAATTATCCTGAAGAAAATGCCAAAACAAAAAAACATCACAAGGAAGTCTAGTGGCTAAAAAACTGACTAGTTCTAATTCCGTTCCAATAATTCCACTCTTTGCTCAGCATCCTCAAAACTTGTTCCATAAATTGATAAATACTAAGAATACTAACAATGTTTCTAGTTACTACAGCTACCTCAAAATTGACGGAGAGACTTAACTTGATTCCTTGAGATTCATCTATGGTAAATACCACTACTAGCAATAAAATAAAATAAATAAATAAAATACTAAGTATTAGCACTCAATGTCTTACACGGCAAGGTACCGAAATCAAAATTTGTTATGGTGAGAAAGCTTAGAACTCTTAGAAACTTATCCAGTAACCCGAGAAAGTGTACACTTTTAGGTATAAACTTCCTTTGAACCCGTCCCAGAGATGTTATTAAAGCACAGGTTGATCAACATTTTGAGCGTGTAGGCTGTAAAAGTAACTCCCCCAAAGATTGAGAAATCGACAGATCATAGGCTGCTAAATATTATTTACCAAATAAAATAATAAAAAATAATAAAAGTACATATTATTTGTTTCCACCAAATCGGAAACGTTACTGTATCAAGCAAAATGAAAATATAAACATAAAATATTTATATGTATGCTATATACACACCATTTCCCCATCCGGCACAAAATGATGTAAACGTAAGGTACTTCTGGAAATCCCTGTTCTGCTTTTGGATACAAAAAGTATTGTTGACAACGGGAAGAAAAATTGCTCTAAGATGGGTACTAAACGTATCATTTTCGGTTACCCCCATACCTGCAATCTTAATTGTAACTTAATTAACTGCATTGAAGTAGTAAATAGGTATAAATGTACCAGTCCCAATTTGTTACTGCTTAATTGTTCAGATAAATCGTTTAAATTCCAATCTAAACAAGCAGGGCGAATAAAAGTTGAAAACTCCACCGAACTACTCAAAACCAGAATGGCTATATCTGATCCATAGTTTCCTACAGCATCTTGATAGGCAGATTGAACAATAATTTTCGAAATATTTTTAAACTGTGCGTAGTCTTCTTCTTGGTAATAATCGCTGTAATATTTATTCAGTCCGATCTGGAGCATTTCTTCTTTTATATTCCATGCACAATGAGCAGCTAATGGTGTTTGTTTCATTTTAGTTACACATGTTGACAATATTTAGTAATTGCGTTTACCTGTTAAAACAACTTTTTCCGTCACTAATGTACCTCCACAAGTGAAAATCCATTTTCCTTCTTCTAAGGTAAATAACACTGCATGCCATGGAAATCTTCCTCGTTGAGTTGTCCAACCTTTAACTATTAATGGCGCAATGTCAAGTTCTGTTGTCCCACAATCTAAACAGCACCAAATGCGATATAGATTATTAATGTCATATAGTTAATCATAACCAATAGTAGGCATAAATGCTGCTAAAATGATTTGCTGGACAGATAAGTCGCTTAAGACAATTTTTATATAATTTAATAAAGGACTACTGATTTTAAGCAGTTCACATAGCTTTATTTTTGTTATTTATTTTGCAAAGCGCTAGAAAATTTTTTCAGTTGCAATAAGTCATTAGATACACACGCATCCTTAATTCATTACATTACGTCAGCGGGGTTCTACTTCTTGTCTTGCGGTTAGTTAGATAATAACTTTAAAGTATATTGTGAACTGTAACAAAATTGTTCAAGATGCAAGAGTAAAATTATTAAACGACAACAATCAACAGCAGAAGAAATAAGTAAGTATTTATAATACGAAGAGACCAGCTGTGAATCCAACTTTCAGAAGCAAAACTGATATAAAGCATAATGACAACAGCATGACTATAGAGTTTGTCGAAAACCATTTTGTACGAATAAGTAGGTATACTGTATGCATTTTGTATTTACATTGTCAGAAAAATAAAAATCTAAATATGTAGAGTAGAAGATTCATGCTTCATTTTCGTATAGTCGTCAACAGTAAAATTATGCTCCAAAGCACTTAGAAGGATTGAGGTAACTGAAATAAATTGAAGCAATTATGCTTGGAATTGAACGAAAGCTTTTCATAAAAGCACATTTTGTAAACTTAATCAACTTAATCTGTATCTTTATCTGTAGCTATCAGTTGTTAACATAACATGAAGAAATAGGAGTCACCTGCAGATAACTGTAAGTTTAATAATCAAAAAAATTATTCTGTATTGAATTGAGGATTATCTGTCTAAAGAAATGTGTCAGCAAAACTGACTGTCTCTCACTATATTCGAGAAGCTCCGTGGGACCATGGCTTGTGGGAGTGCCATACCTAGCCGTACAAGCGAACGGGTGATTCTTCTCGGTCTTGATTTCGGGTAGCGTTAGTGAACTCACCTTAGCGCTACGCCGAGACGTTGACCTGTACGGTCCCGCATCCCCTTGAAGCAATATTATGTAATAGATTAATCAAACTGCATTCAGTTCAAAGGCCATTGAAGCTATGCTTTCATATGCGGTTCAAGGTTGTTTTAAGAATTCAATGAATGCTCGAAAACTCACACTATATACCTCTACAAACACCCTACACCTACTCACACTAAAGTTGTAACAAGAATTACTGAGAGAACAATAAAAAACGTAATCAAAGGCGGCCATGGATTTTTGAAAATTTGTCTTTAATTGATGAATTTTTAATTGAACTATCAAATTGACGGTAATCTCACAAGATGACAAATTCATGGTTGTTTTGATCGTATTTTTTATTGTTCTCTTGGTATAGTTTGTGTACGTCAATTATTGAAAAAAGAACTTTTAATGGTTGTATCAAAGCGTGTTTTCGTAATGAGCTGGTCAAATTCGCTTTGATCATTATCACCTTTGCGGGTCTGGTTCAAAATAAGGTTGGCAAATGACCACCACAACTGTGACCAGGTGCACAAAAATATAATTCGGCATTTGGACGGAACCGCAAACTGATAAACATATGCCCGAACTTGTACTACTATATTTTGAAGGATTCTACTTGTTCATTGTGAAAATACTTAATTACTACGTCTCCATAAATAATAGTTTATTATTAACTTCAATTACTAAAGTATTGTAGCGCATTTAATTGCAAATAAAATATATAAATAATAATGGACAAATACTTTCATTTTACTTTTTTAAAATGTGTTTAATCAGTTTTGTAAATAATTAGTTCAATTCTTTGGTACGTTAATTGTTTGTAAAAAAATCCTCCATCGCCCCAAACTTTACTTATCATTTGACTTATTAGGAACCTGGGTATTATTTTTTTGTGCACGGTCAGAATTTTCGAAATTAACGTAAAGTAGAAGAACCAAAACGCCAAAACAATCCATTTGGTTACAGTGTTCAATGATTTATCACCTGGTAAACCGCAACAATAAGCTTTTATGTCTTACGAATGCAGATTAAGTTAACGACGACCTAAGGCGTAGGTTTCATAATTTATTACATAATAACAAAGTAAGATTAGTTTTTTACCAAAAACCTTCAATCACCCTGTGAATGTTTGAACTATCAAACATTTATTTTTTTTATTGCAGAATTTTAAACAACAAAATATAAATAACGCGATTGCACATACGTATTTTTCTTCATCTCATACAGCCATCGACAAATTTGCCCTTTCAAGAAGAAACTAAGGCAAATGACAACTGATATTGTGTTCTGTAGAAATAAGTTTGACAAATCAAAGAGAAAATTGTATTCAAACCCAACTAACGGAAAACTTGAATAAGCCGCACAAACAATTAGTTGCATGATGCATTAATATCTAAAACTACCTTAAGAACAGTAACAAAATGCTGTTTTCATTATCTTCACCTGAATTAGAAAGTAAAGTTGTTCTGGCACATGAATTTGAAAATCTCTATTCAAACGGAAAAAATGAAAATATGAATGAACAAAAATTTCGCTAAAATATAATACATAGGTATGTTACTCCTGATGAAATGGAAAATAATATTGGACATGGAAGTAAAAATTAAATCATTAAAGTTTTCCAAACAATAATATTTTCTATTCAACTAACCGTCGCCCCGGAATGTTTAGTATACGACCAGCGCATAAATAACCCGTAAGCTTATTATCTCATCAAACGACAAATGTGTCCAACTCTGTACCGTTTGGTCAAGAGTCATATTTGGGCTAACGTTAATGTCATTTTCAAACCAATAATGCCAATCCCACGACATGATGTCATGGCCTAGTGCAATTCAAAAAATTTGTGCTCAAACCTCACAAAAGTGGACAGCTGAGGCACAAGAGAGTGATAATACAAAATAAAAAAAAATTAAAATATGAATGACGTAGTTAAGTGTAGGAATTTTCTCAGGAATGGTTGAACAAATAAATAAAATTTACCGGGTATGCACCGTAATAATTCACGATTCCATGTACCATCCATCTGACAAATCACCTCTTTATTATTTTCATGTTTGAGACTAGCTGGAATATAATACTCCTTGCATTCATAGTGGACTACTGCTCCTGGTGGTAAGGGTTGGTTACAAGGATAAACTCCTTTCTTTGGTCCAGAAGGTATCTCGCAGCGAACATTTATTCTGTCTGATACAATTCGAGGACACTTTATTTGCATATTTTCTGAAATACAGATATAATATAATTCATTCAAAGATTAATAACTTTATGATCCTAAAATTTTGGTCAACGATTACTATAAAATTCTGTATATTTTAACAAAATGATATAAAAAGTAGCTTCATTACTGTATTTTCTTAGATTTTTATGTTTAAATAAGCCGGATATTTTACATAATTTGGTAGTAAATTTCTATGATATTGTTCCGAAATAAACCCATACGCCGCCCTGGTACGACGCCTATGAGTTCTCTAGAATGAGTGGAGATGATCATCATCAGTCAAGACGGCCGAGCGGCGCTAGCATAAAGACAAATCTGGAGCCGGTTACTGGAAGTCTCGATTGCAGAAGTATAGGTTTAACTAGAGGCCACCTTCGGGAACGATTATTATTCAGTGAACAAGTCAGGTCCAACGTGTGCCGAGAAAACCCAGTGAAATTGCTCCGGAATTATTTTGTACATACTTAATCACTTTGTAATGCGTCGTGTAAATTCGAGTTATTAAGAAATAAATTGTTGAGTTTTACCCACGCCGATTTTAATCACCCATACAACGTAACAATATATTGTGATACACTGATAACTGTAGCGGTGTGTCCAATATGTGTTTGATATTTTTATTTCTTATTATTTAAATCTATTTATACGTGAACCATCATCATCATTACTCAAAGTGAACATTAAATGGAACGCGACATAAGATTATGGTATATATTTCTAATCATTTTCTTGACTTAAGTACTCTATGTGGTCGTTTTGCAATTATGTGAAAACTCACTTATGTTGGTATTGGTAAGTTCAACTACAATAATTTTACGTTTTTTATTTTTTCACTTACAAGGATTAATGGCTACAAATCATTGCAGAAGATGCTGTAAAAAATAAATTATCTATTTTCATTGCTATGTTTCTTCTAGTGGTTAATATTCTACCAGCTGTGAAACTTCGAATAAAATATAAAATTCAACATTCGTCAAAGTGACTGCTTTGTTCTTCTCTAACTTACTCGCAGGAAGTACAAAAATCAGAGTTAGACAGAGCGTACATGGCACCATATGACAATTCTTCACAAAAGATAATAAATAAAATAGGCCTGAAGTAATTTCTATCGTAAGGTTTCTTACGGTTAGTATCAACAATTTCTGCATTATAAATTTCAACAGAAAGTCACAATTTAGTCCAAATTATAGCTTCGTAATGAAAATTAAAAGATTCATGTCTATGTGTTTATCGCACCCGTCATCTCAAATTTTGTATGAATAAGTCAAAATGTGCAAAAAGTTATGACTCTATACTTGTCAAATCATGAATGAAGCAATTTGTTTAGTGATCAGATCAAAAACGGCTCACCCCACGTTACAAAAAAATTTCGGCATAATAACATTACTGTTAATATTTTACTAGTCCATAATGACTATACTTGTCCAAATTGATATATTTATGTCTCCTTACTAAAATAATAATGACATAATCACAAAATTGTGAATACTGATACTGCTTATAGATTTTTTTTCAATTTTATTTTGATTTTTAAACACAACATTGGTTTTTTGGTTTACCTTTATTATAGCAGTCGTCACTAGTACAATTTAACATTGAACACAAGATCGTTGATTCATCGGATCCATCAATGCAGTCTCTGTGTCCATCGCATCGTTGATCAAGATAAATACAACTTCCAACGTTACATCTATGAGTAAAGGGTGGACATGTAAGTTTTTTACAAATACTTCCTTCGTCTGTATTATCTTTACAGTCTGAATTTCCATTACAAAGTTTTTCAACTGGAATACATTCTCCAGTAGAACATTTAAATTCAGTTGTACTGAAACACAAACACATAACTGAAGAACACATATTTTTAGCTTGAGTTATAGTAATTGTAATTTTTTGTAAATATGTATTAATGAACACCCTATTAAAAAGTTGTAAATATGTAAGATATGATTACATAAATAAAATCGAACCTGCAGCTATTTAACTGTTCTTCACACTGATTTTCGTCAGATCCATCGGCGCAATGCTCAATACTATCACATCTCAAATTACTTGCAACGCAGCCTCCATAGTGACAGCGAAACGTACTCACTGGACATCTACGAAAAAATCGGTACTATATTATTCTTTATGTAGGACAAATTACAGTAAAATTGTTTAATAGCTCTAAATCATTAAAGAAATTCTGATTAGCTTGTAACCATTTAAACCAATCCACGACGATATATCCAGTAGTTTTGGAAATTAGGTGCTTATTAGTGAAACGAACAGATATCGAAGCACTTTATTTTGCATTTTGTTTAAAATTTTAAAATGACGCAATCAGTGTTTTGGAGAGGATAATCAGATAAATTTTTATAAGCGAGTTACCAGCCCTACGATAACCTAAAAATGATTTCAAGCATTCGGTTTTGCAATTTCTAAGTTTTTTTTCAGGAATCGGGTGACAGCCAGACGGAAATGAAAGATCGACTTTTGTATCCTCCAGAAGTTATGAAATGTTGAGAAAACATTAAATTAGTCATTCGCCAGATGGACCATATTAGGATACTTCTTACGATTACGAAATAAAAAATGTTATAAAACTAAAAGAAATGGAGGTAGATCTTAAACGCAACAAAAATAATGTGAAATCAGTTGAAATAGAGCTAAAATTTGGAATTTTAAAAAAGGTCGAAAATCAAGTAAAATTGTTTAAAATATGGCGATATTTTCATATTTTAAAACACAAAATTAATTTTGATTTTTGAAAAATCAGTTCATTTTATTTAAAAAATAGGCTGCAGTATTAGTGGTGCTATACCAGCAGCTGAAAAGGATAAAACATGCTCTGACTAGAAATATGAATTTGTTCTATTAATTTAGTGATACTTAGAAGGGTATTTTGCTTAAAATGTTGATTTATCCTGGAATATTTGTAATTATATTCGTATACCTACATATTTATTGTAGTACGAGTATTGCTAATACTTACAAGATTTGATAACATAACTTTCGTGTTTCATCAGCGCCATCCAAACAATCTTTTAACCCATCGCATATTTTGTCTACATTTATTACCTGTCCATCATTACAAATAAATTTTTTCTCGTTGTGCGAAACTGCAGCGCAAATAAAAACTGAAATATAAGCAATAATTCTCATTTTTCACTACAACTTAGAAATATTATTTTGAAGGTAAGAGAAACATTTAAACTGAATTGGAAATATTATTGTAACAAAAGACAATTTACTGTCAGATATGGTTTCAACATTAACATATTTACAAATTATTCTATTAATGTGCATATACTATGTGATTTCAAACGTGCATGAACACAGCAGTGGACGATTACTTACAGAAATAAAATTCCTTTGTTTATTTATTTTTTTGAGAGCAAAATACGGTTTGCTTTCATCTTTACTCCTTTTGTATTCTTCATTTCTGTGAAATTGTAATTATTTAAAAATAATAGTAACAAAACAATGTATGTAAACGCACTGGATTTGGTTAGCCAATATATAGTTTTAAAAAAAGCATAAACACTTGTTCTCTTTAAAATAAAACGTTTTGTTCATAAATTTTCATTCATTTCGGTATTCTATTGTAATTTATATTGTAATAATTGTATCTAAGACGATGAAGTGTGTGTGTGTGTGTACGCCTCCAGAAACTGAAGCAACAAAATCGATTACGATTTATTTACCAAGAGAGTTTAATGAAAATTACTAATTTCGCTTTCATATTGTACAGTCGTGCCCAAATTGTTTTTGGCCGCGGCCGAGCATTTGGACATTAACAAAATTATTTATTTGGGTGTAGGCCCATTTCCTTGGCAATGGAAGAGCTAAATAGCGTGCGGGGACAGAAGCAATAATTAAACGCTCATAACATGTTGATACATAGATTGAAAGACAAAAACTACAATGTTAATAAAAGAAAAATGAGTAAATATATCAGGAAAACGGCAAAATAAAACACAAAGCTAAACTTACATAACTAAAACATACATAACTGATACTCGTAATACTAATTAAAATTAGATCTAAAAATTCACTAATAACTTCATGCGATTAAAACCTAAGAATAAACTAATAAATCCCAAAATATGTGTTATTCTTCTAATATATAAAAATGGATGTTGGTATATATATATATATCTGTGATCGATAGACTCCGAAATCGTTTGACCGATCACCATGAAATTTGGCACATGTAAGTGGTTTTTCATGGAGAAGGTTTTTGTGGTATCCGCTTTGCTGTAACTAGCCACTAGATGGCGCTACAGCACATCAACTTCTACACCGTTCAACCGATTCTGATAAAAATTGGTACACGTTGGCATTTGACTATGGAGAATATTTTCGCCCTATCCATTTTGCTGTAACTCGCCACTAGATGGCGCTGCAACACATCAACTTCTGTACCAATCAACCGATCCTCATGAAAATTGGTACACGTTGGCATTTGACTATGGAGAATATTTTCACCCTATCCATTTTGCTGTAACTCGCCACTAGATGGCGCTGCAACACATCAACTTCTGTACCAATCAACCGATCCTCATGAAAATTGATATACGTTGGTATTTGACCATGGAGAATATTTTCGCGTTATCGATTTTGCTGTAACTTGCCACTAGATAGCACTGCAGCACATCAGCCTCTCTGTTAAAGTATTATGAACTTAGAGAATCAGCGGCACCCATATATCGAATACTACTATATTGCTATCAGGCCTCAAAAGAGTCCGAAAACACAACGGCAAAGCAATATATCGGACCTCTTTGTCTCTCTATAGTGCCAAACAGTACTGCTCATATACTCGTACTTGCTTGATTTTTAGTCGATAACGTGACTAGATGTGTTTTGACATTTCATACGTTCGCTTCTATTTTGTGTACGTGCGCACAGACCCTCGGTACTTTTCTAGACAGAAAACAATATCTTCCGTCTCCCTTTGTCCGTGAACACCGTTTCTATTATGTTACTTCTGAAGAGTTAGCAAGTATTAGATATATGGCGGCACCAATGACAGCATTGTTTTCGTTGGTATTACAACAAAAATCGTATTGACCGCAAAATAAAATCATTAGTGATGTTCACTGTCTACAATCCTCAGTAATAACAAAGAGTGAATTACTAGAGATTATTGAAAATGCCATCCAAAAAATCAAACTGATTCCGCGCATTCCAATGGTTCCTACTGATTTGCCCTTTACATTCAAACGACTACAGTTGCGTCTTGCTTTCGCGATGGCAATCAACAAAGCCCAAGGGCAGTCTCTGCGCGTTGCCGGATTAAATTTAGGAAATCCATGTTTTTCGCATGGTCAACTGTATGTTGCTTGCTCCAGAGTAGGAATTCCAAAAACTCTGTACGTCTATACACCAAATCGAAAAACCAAAAATATTGTTTACCCACTAGCGTTACGATAGATGTTAGTATTGATTTAAATGTGTTCAAGTTGTTTCAGTTATAGTGGACCAAAAGCTATAAGGTTATATGGCCATCATAAAATTATCCCATTGTGTCGAAGTTAAGTTGTTTACAATAGAAAAGGTTTTAGGGTCGTAAATAACGTGTCCAATGGAGCTCGACCGGCTGTTGTGGTTTCGTTCAGGGACGGCTTTCACTAAATATGTAAATCCACCACTCCATTATTTCTTTACTACCTGCAGCCGCTGAGGGTTCCGAAATCACCACTCGCTTTGAAAGCCGGCTCTGTTAAATATGAGCAAGAAATGTTGAGAAGACGATTTATTGCCAACCGGGTAAGCTTAGTGCGAACCACACAAAGGGGGTACTTATTTGCGGTCAACTACTTTTATAATGGTCAAAAATTTTGTTCATTCACGTGAATTACTAATACAAAAATGTGTACATTGTGTATACTAATGAAAATAAATGGAATAGCATCAATATGAGTTATCTTATTATTCAGTTTTCTACAACGCATTCTGCGCTCCAGACCATACATTTATATCCACATATATACAAAGTAAATATATACACAAGCAGGACAACGTCTGCCGGGTTCCGCTAGTACTTTCTAAAAATAATAATACATGTGTGATAACTAAACCTCGAAAACTGCAAGAAACGAAATCGAATAATGCACTTATTAATCATTTAATAAACTGCGACTGGGTATCTATACGCTACCTAAGTACTATGAAAATGCTAAAAACAATTTAAACTAAGATTTTAGTGGAAATCGAAGGAACCTTCCCCTGAGCATAAAAAAACTAAAATTAACCAGATTAAAAAACACTTAATAGGTACGGTCGAATCGAGAACACATTAGGGTAGCGAGAGCGAGATAAGTTAAATGAGAGTGAGGGTAGACTTACACAGATGCACCATGGAAATTTTTCTAACTACTTCTTCCCGGTTTTAGCAAATTTTTTCCAAGTCCGGATTTCTTCAAAATTTAACCAAAAATAGTGGAAAAATCGCGAAGCAAACTGATAGCGTGGCCCACGGCACGTCGAGACTGGAATGAAGTTCGCTTTCTGCGCTATTGCTTTTATAGGAATTTTTGGCCATTTATTTTGTCTCCCGCTTCATTAGAGGGTAATAAATGGCGTTCTTTGATCTGTTTTTTATGCGTCGGGGTTTCGCCTCTACTACTGTTTTAGTTTGGGTATGAATTTTAATGAAAACAATTAAGATTGGCGGTTTTTATGGATATCCAGTTTTGCGCATGTTGTTCACAATGTCTGACAAGCGCAATGATTTTTAATATTTGCAAATTTGCGAATTTTGTTTTTACGTTTTTCGACTTTTTTGCGATTTTCTCGTGAACTGACTTAGTGACGGCCCGGCACAGTACATTATTTAATACTGAGGAATATATTGAATTTAAAAAACAATGCTAACATAGAACGACGCTATAGTACATTGCGTGCAAAAAAACAAATCTGAATGATATGCTGCTAAAAAACCAAAACCATTCATTCTATCAGTCAAATTATTTTCAACTTTTGCTAACAGTGTTTTCGAATTGCGAAAAAACACCGACATGCTTTTAACTTTTGGAAAAGTGTGATAGAAATTTCAATGCTGCCGTTCGTCTACATGCCAGAGGCGAAGAGAAGAAAAGTTGATTAATTTAAGAAAACTAAAGTTAGACACGTCCTACAGTAGCAACGCCAGAAAATGAAGCTGCCCTCATTGAAATTATAGAAGATAATCTTCACCGTGAGTCAACGGCTGATCGCAAAACAAATGCAGATTAGTCAGAGTTCGGTTTTTAACATCAATGGAATTTGTCAAAGTAATAATTTTTTCGTAACAAAAATAATCTTCAATTATTGAAACATAAAACACAAACATAAAATTAACTAAAAAGGCATCAAAATGTACTCCACGACTCTTTTCACATGCGTCCAAACCGTGGAGGTAGAATGACAGGAAGGGAGCATGTCTCATTGAACCAATATTAAAGAAACGCCGGCAAAAGAACTCCCCACCCTTTCCGCATCACATCGGGAGCGGTCAGGTAACAGCAGAGAGTCAGAGGAAGTGTCATTTAACTTAAAATGGGTTCATAGAGAGTAAAAATGTCTTACTGTTTGCGTAATTATGGTATAAAAACAAGAATAATTCTAGCAACATAAACTCTTAAGTATTTTTTTTTATATTCTATCTTGTTAAATTTTTCTGTTTTATGCTCAGTACACGGCAAATGCTTTCCAGCACGTCACGTTTCTCGGAGGAACTGGAAGAGACATTTATTAACCTTCGAAAGCCCGGTACCGAGCACTTTTCTAAACTATCTTCCCTCCTTTCATTCTACCTCCATATGCTCCAAACGACCTTTTACACGTTACCAGCATATCAGGGGTTATTTCGTTACACGCTTGTCTAATGCGATTTTTTAATACATCCAAGCTTTGTTTCTCAAACGTTCTGCTTGACATAAGGTCGGCACCACGGTTGTCGGGACTATGCGGCAGTCAGGCATGTTCTACACTTCTTCCAATCGATTTATTTTGATACCCACATGAGGATTCTCCGTGACTGCTCGTATAATAGTCGCTTCGTTAGGGTTTCCAAGTCCTTGTCGAAGTTAAGCCAGAGATTTTATTTGACGTAATAATGTGAAATGTCGAACTCTCGCTTCTAGCGAGACTTCGTAGGATGGAGGAAGGGAAATCTTACTTGTCAAAATACGACAATGGGGCGTTTTTCCGGTGAATTTTAAATTCAGGTAATAATTTTTCCTCGGCCGGAGATTTTATTCGGTCGGTCGCACACCAGAGATAAGATCCTGAAACCGGAGACTCTGGCCGAAAACCAGAGACTGGCAACCCTACGTCCCTACGCTTCATGTTCGGGATCAGTTGCAATTGTTGCCATTGGTTTTTTAAATAAGCGGCCAACTTTCGCGCATTTTTGCTTCTAATCTTGTTCAAATTGTTTCCCTTTTCTACAGGTCTTCCATTGGGATATTTCCTCCTAAACACAGCAGCTTCCTTTGCTTAAGAACGGATGTCAACCTTTTCATCACTAGCTTTCATCGTTAGACAACATTTTAAAAAATAATGAATTCATTTGACACACTTAGGTGGAGTTCTTTCTGTAGTGCGAGTAGTGCTGTGCCTGCTCGCCAGTTCGCTATTGTTGTCGTTTTCGTCGTTCTAAGGCGTATTATTCTTATCATTTTTTTATATTTCCGGCTTATCAAATCAGTTCTTTTCAGAACTACAATTCATTTTAAGAGCGGTTAGGCAAATTAATGGTTGGCAAATGCCGTATACAAATAATAATGGTGTAAATTTTCAGTTTGAATTTTTCAATTTTTATTGTGCAACAATGTTAACAAAAAAATCAGTTGGAATTAGTGTTTTCAGTTTTTTATATTTACGTTTGCAATATTTTTCATTGACCCCTGTAACAACAACTTCGACGCCACTGGTCGATTTCCTCCACGCAGCTTCAAATGACTCACGTGCTGTTTCGAAAAGATTCGTACTATTGAAACATTAAATTTGGAAAAAAAAAACCTAGACAGTAGGTTCCTTTTGTAATGCAAACACCCACTATGAAATGATTTTTGAAAACTCCACCCCTAATGAGGTAAAAAAGCACAGAAATCGTGGGTGTTACGGTTTTTTTATGTCGAGCGGATGCCCTGGAACTTACATTAGTCAATTAAAACTAAATTCAAAATTAAGTATTAGACATATTTATTTACAATGAAAAAGTAAGCTTTTTGTGTACTATATGAACATAAAACATTAATCTGATTCACTTTCACTGCTTTCAAAATCTCCTACATCAATAGAAAACTGATATTCTTGATCGCAACCCAAATAAGCATCACTCATAAAATACAATGTATAATTATGATGCCCGGGACTTGGAGCGACGAAGTCTAATTTAACACGAGCCTTCTGTTGTAAAGTAAGTCTCTTTATTGATAACAAAGAATTGGATTTTGGATCACCAATGACGACCCACCAGCCTTCTTCACGTTTCTAAAAGAAAAAAGGTTTTTAATTATTGGTTCAACATAAGACACGAGAATGTTACAAAAGCATTATCGTCCGGATTTTTATTTAAATTTTGTACCGAACTATAACATTTTTGTGAAAATTTTAATTTTTCAACTACATTTTTGTTGTCCGGAAAAAAAGAAACGTTCATATGCAAAATGAGTTAAACATACCTGTGGGAAAAATGGTGCAATAACTGGTCCGTTAACCTCATCTTCTCTTTCAAGCTGAACAGCTACATGTACGGATGATCCAGAATGTATTTTATCTTTGTCCAATACTTCATGCTTCAGTTCTATGTTGGGATATCTGTTACAAAATCTGGCAACGTCAGCCATTTGGGCATCCGTCAACTGTAGCAACCTCGACCTATCTTCATCTTCCAGTTCCATTATGTCAAACACTGTTTCCACCTTCTTATCTTTACATCTTTTCACGATATCTGCTGTAAAATGGGGTAACTGCTTTAAGAGAGGATCTTTACTCCACATAGCCTGCGTAACCATTTGGGCTAATTCCATAGCAGCCACTGCCGGTGACAGCCATCCATTGGAACTTAATACATCCACACATGCTTGAATAAGCCTGATAGCTTTGCTAAGAACAATTTCAGTATCTCCTTGTAATTCTGCGCCCAATTGCAATCGACACAGGTGAGCTTGAACAAGAAGGTTAGTCTTGACGTGGGGGTCGTTGAATTTAGGTTGGCTTCCTGTAGAAGACGTCAACTTATTAGGCAATTTTGCAGCTAGTTGTCGCAAAGTATTATCTTCATGATGTCGAACCGGAAGATCTTCATACTCTGCAGCTGATGATATGATTTCCAACAAACCACGAATTTTAGTTTTGCTGTTTAACGATAGACTGAATAATTCTAAAAAACGGAGAATTACAAGAGGAACACAACATTATACAGGTATCACTTACCAATAGTTGTATAGTTAATATAATAGTATGCAGCGATCATTCCTAAATTAAGTGGAACACAATCAATGTCATCTTCTATACTAATACATTTGGATTGCTCTAAATCGGATAAGGTAGTTTCTACTAGTTCTGACAAATGATCAGACAAATGCCTATGCGTCACTCCTTGAAGATTGTAGTAATTTGGATTCTGCGTGAGTCTTCTATACAAAAACGTCCATGTTAAGTAATCCACAGCATCTTGTTTGTTTTCAATCGTTTTTGTAACTATTTCAGCGTTGAAATGATCGTGAAGTCTGTGGTCCAAATGACTTTCAACAGGTAATGGATCACTAAGAAACTTCTTAAAGAAGTCCTTCTTGGAACTTTGACACATTAAGAAACACTTTGCGTCATCGTCTTCGAGAGGACGATTCGCTCTTCCAATCATTTGAAGTACATCAGTAATAGGATAATCTTCATAAGAATGTATCTTGCCATTATAAGATTGAGTGTCCATAATGATCACCAAATGAGCAAAAATGTTGACAGTCCAACACAAGTCTCTACTAACCACAGCTATCTGAACCGCTCCCGAATCAAACAATTGTTCTACAAGCCGTAAATCGCTTGCAGTTAAACCTTCATGCATGTATGCAACGCCTTGCGAGAGGGTTTCCTTCAGAGTCTAAAAACGAAAAATCTTATTTTAATAGTTATTAAATTACATTCGTAGTGGCTAACTTGACAGACAACAGTTCGCCAATTAGTTGAAATAACCGCATAAATTGAAAGACAAGGTTAAAAATAAATTGAGAAGTGCACAAAAATTATATTGTGGGCACCGCGCTACAATAACTACTTATGTGTATGCAAACATGTTTTTGTGAAGTATGAAAATAATATCACAATAAGCGAATTATTGCCTTTTAAAAAATAAAATTTGAAGCAACCAATATATTCTAACTAAAGGTTTACCTTGTCTGTCATGCGATCCAAAAAAGGTTTGATGTCTTCTTCTTCTGCATGGAAAAACTTATTAGACTGCCCTTCGGAAGCCGCGTACGTAAGCAAATCTATTGCCGTTAACCTTGACTGCTTTCTTGTAGGAACAAATACAATCACTGGTTTGTGAGGACTATATCTAACAATAGCATTATAGACTGGTTTTGCCATCGCTACTAGTCTGGAAGCGTTGTGAGTGATGTTAATGCCTTGAACGTGTAATTCTAACGGAACTGGTCTAACACTTGGGTGAAAATTAAAAGTACAATTAGCGCTGCATCCCAACCATTGGGAAACATCTTTATAATCCATCAACGAAGCACTTAAAGCGATAATTCGGATGGGTTTTTCGATCTGGGACGAAATATATCTCATTCTTGAACAAACTATTTCAATAACGGGCCCATCTTCACCCCCAATCAAATGCAATTCATCAACAATGAATAAGTTCACATTTTGGACGTTCTTTCGTTGTTTCCATCTTCGTGACAGAACATCCCATTTTTCAGCTGTGCTAATAACTATCTGACCCTTGGCAAGTAGTTTCAAATCTGTTCCTGTTTCTCCTGTCAACAAAACCACTTTTTTGCCCAGCATCTGACCAAATTTGTTATGCCAGTCGGCAAACGCCAATTCAGCTAAAGCATCTTTCGGAACCAAATAGACACACCGTCCTTCTGGATTCCTGTCAAATAAACGAAGTATCGCAAACTCGGCTATAGTGGTTTTTCCCGAACCCGTTGGAGCACCAATGAAAATATTGTCGTCACCGTTATAAACAGAGTTAAAAACTTGTGTCTGAATAGGATTAAATTGAGGAAATTTGTCGCTGTATAATGATTCATATTTGTCGTTTCTAAGTGCCGTAACAGGCAAAGGCTGTAAATCCAATAGTTCGGTGGGCGGAAAGTTCTTTTCAGGCAAAATTAAATGCCTGAAAGAAACAGGTAACTGTGTTTCGGCGCCAATCCATCTATCTGAAACTATCCTTAAGAAGTATTGTGGTGGCAAAGGTTCGAAAATAGGGACAAAAAACTTGACCAAGTGCTCGTCTTGACAATATTTTGATTTCAAAAGGAAATATTCATGATGAAGGATGACTTCCGAGTCCACATCTTCAACTAAAATCCAAAAGGCCTCTGAAGTCCCGTGCAGTTTGTCGTCCCATTGAAAATCTGGCGTTATCGTCAGCTCAACTTTCAACATCGATCTTGTAATCGGTTGGATATGAGTAGAAAGCTCGAGTTTAGGGAATTGATGTACGTATTTGTGTATCGTTTTCCCTAGTTTGGGAACGCGAATCAGCTCGCCAATTTCATTGGGTCCCAAATCATACAAGCGCTCCCACGGGAAATTTTTCTTTTCGATCTTTTTGACGATTTCTTCAGGCATTTTGCGGAACTGCCTCAATGGTGACATTGATTGCCACATCCTCTTGTCAATCATCTTGCATAAAGCCAAAGACTTGTCAGCTAACTGGGCCCACCCTCTATGCAACACTATTTCAAAAATTGCTCTCATTAATCTTGATGCTGATTGTGTAACGTAGACCATGTCAGACATTAAAGCGAAACCTTCCAGTTTTAACTGCGAAATGTATGCTTGCAAAAGAACGTTTACTTTAGCACTCGGTTCTTCTATACTTTCTTTAATTGGAATTGGAACTCGCTCCATAAGTTTTTGAAGTTCCAACTTTTCTTCTTCACGAACTGTGATGTTTTTGAATTCCGACGATAACGAAAATACCCGGAAGAGCTCTATTTCACTGAGCATAGGTTTAAGTAGTTGATTGTAAGTTTGCATGGTTTCATGTGTACAGTAGTAATGCGAGGAAATTCTACCCAGTTCAGTAACCTGGAACTGCCCAGTTTTTCTGTCATATTTGACTAATCCGCTGCGATCTAAATGTAAAGCAGCAGTGTGGATCAAATCGGCTCGATGCTGCTCTAATAACTGATCTTGTTTCATGTGATCGTGAGCAATTCCATACAGATTTGGTTGTCTCAACATTCTAATATATAAATAGGTATATCCCAGCCAAGTCACTGCATCTCTTACATTTTGCACTGTGCCTAACACTATTTCAGCGTTCAACATATCAGGTAATTTAGAAACCATCTGCGATTCAATTGGTAACTGCTGATTGAGAAGGGATAGGTAATATTGAAGTTCACTGTGATTCGTAATCAGAATGCCTTCACCTCTAGTATCATATTGAGGTCGACCTGCACGTCCTAACATTTGGAGAACATCCAAGGCACCTAATTCGACCCATCTTCCTTTCTCTGGATTATAAATCTGAGTGCCTTTAATTATTACCGTATGGGCGGGAAGATTTACTCCCCAAGCAAGAGTGGCAGTAGATACCAACACTTGGATGTGTCTATCTGCAAATAAATCCTCTACCAACGTCCTATCGACTCGAGTCATGCCAGCGTGATGTATAGCAAAACCATATGGCAGAAGATCCTTTAACTCATGATTTTTCACTTGTTCAGCTTCTGTTCTCAAAACCTCCATGGAAGCAGATCCTTCTTTTAAAAACTGACCCAAAGTATCCTTCTCTAAACACATGTCACGAATAGCTCGGGCCGTTTTTCCAGTCTCTTTCCTTGAATGGACAAATATCAAGACTTGATTACGTCCCGCGTGTTCCATAGTTTTTTCATAAACGATTTCATTCATTACTTGGTATCTTTTTAAGGCCTTTTTTTCAGTGACACCAATATACTGTTGCTCTAAGGCAACAGGTCTAAAACTATTGTCAAAATAAAACAGTCCACTATCTGACTTTACTCTCAAAAAAGCGGCAACATCTTGATAGTTGGGCAACGTGGCTGACAGACCCACTATACGAACATCTTCTTGAGTAGCCTCAATCATTCGAATTGTTCTAGCAACAAGAGCTTCTAACACCGGACCTCTCTCATCATGCAGCAGATGAATTTCGTCGATAATAATTAATCTAACGAGGGAAGCAAAAGTTTTCTCACCTCCCTTTCGAGTAATGATATCCCACTTTTCGGGAGTACATACAATTATTTGTGTCGCAGCTATTTGTTCTCTAGTCAATTGGTGATCACCGGTTAACTCTGATACAGTAATATTGTAACTTGAGAGTCTTTTTCCAAAATTGCCAACCATTTCTTGCACGAGAGAACGCATAGGTGCTACATAGATTATCTTAAAATCATCTGCGTTTATGGTGCCATCGGTATTGATGTGCTTTCCGATTTCACGCATCATACACAATAAGGCAACATTTGTTTTACCCGCACCAGTTGGAGCACACAGGAGCAAATTTTCATCTGTCTCCAGGGCGGTTTTACACAAACGACTTTGAATCCGGTTAAGTGTTTTGAAACCGTCAAATACTGGTTGTACGTACTTTGGCAACTGATCGATTGGTTGTAATTTTTCGTTATCTCCAAACGGTTTTGGTTTAAGTGCCGGAACATGAACTTCTTCATAACCTAGAATAGAAACATAGTCATTTGAAAGACTGATTACAAAATACATTCGTTTATAATTCAATTCATTAGATTTTAATATTTGAGTTAAAATAGCAGACCAAGAAACAGTTTACTACACGAATTGCATATTTTTTACCAATTTCAGTCCTTACTCAATGTATAGAACATTATTAGATATATATCTCAAAAAATATATATCAACACATACGACAGAGAGACGGAAATACAGGACACACTTTTCCATGAAACATTGTGAAAACATAAAAGTAGCCGTTCAACCGACCCTCTTACAATATTTCTTTATCTTACGGTCGAGGAGTAAAAAAACAACTACTTAAGACCCGAATAAATAATACGAAAAACCGTCCCTCAAGGAGCGCTTCGACTAACAATACTATTCAGGAATTAAAAAAAATCTAGCAGGATAGTGTTCCTCGATACCAACCATAGGAAGAACCCGGATCTCTCACTTATCGAGGTCACACCACCGACTAGTACCGGCAGCCACAACACTCAATGATAAATAATTCAGTTTTGTTTTTAAAGTTTGAAAGAGTACTCAGATACAAGAAAGTGTATAGTTTGGTGCAAAACGAAAGGGATCATCACGTAATCTGCGCATAGTAGAGTGCCAAGCAGAACGAAAGGTGACATGGGCGGAGCTTCAGATGCGCGCCTATCTCTTACCAGTGGCGTAACTGATTTATCATAAAATCTAATTAAAGTAATAAATGCTCTGAGGTCCCTATTAAACAAAATTCTTCTTGCTAATAAATACAAAGTGACAAAATAAATAATAATAATTTAAAAAAATAGGAGACACAAAACGCTGGCACCAGACATACGAAGACAGTACAGAAGTACGACAAATTAACAGCGCTACTGCCCTATGTTTCCATCCCCCGAGAGCTATGAATAGACTCGACCAACTTAACTTGCTTTACTGTGCAACCCACGTGATGGCCCTTTTCGTTTTGATTGTCATTCTACCAATTTATTTCGGTCGAGTCCATTCTTTGTTCGAAAGGGAGATTGTCTTTGCAGTGGCGTGCACCCAAACTCAAAATACATTATTTGTGGCACATTTAAAAAATAATATAGGAGAACCAGCGAGACAAAACGTATACGTTATCGTACGTCCATGACGTCACTTTCGTAAACACATTCAGTATGTCCCCGGATTGAGTTCAGAAGAGGAAAAAAACCTGCATTTTACAAAAAAATGACATAGGAATAACATTTTTTGCTTAATTAATAAATCTGCAATTAAAACTTCCAATATTCCTGGTCTGTATTGTTAAAATTATTTTTTTCATATTTCTAAGTTCTTCGTTACTTTTAGTTTTTTTTCGATTTTAAGGACACAGCCTGATAATATTAAAGTTTTAATTGCAGATTTATTCGTTTTGAATTAAGCAAAAAATGTTATTCCTATGTCATTTTTTTGTAAAATAGAAAATAGTTTTTTTTTCCTCTTCTGAACTGATGAAGATGAAGATTTTCTTGGGGACATATTGTTTACACAGTCGGACGCGGTTTAATCACCTTGACACTTTTAATGCTGTCATCAAGCCAAGATTTGTTAGTAGTACTGTTTTGGAAAATCCACGTTTCGTCCAAGAAAACGCACTGCATTGGATTCTCAGATCTCACACGCCTGAATCGCTAAAAAGCCGTGCAAAACTGTCAAAGCAAGTTGAAGGGCACGCTGACCAACATAACAACTGCGAAGATTATGCGGACTAAGCGTGATCTGTTAACAAATTTTGGTTTTCATGTTGACAGTATAATACGTCATCATTTCAAAACTTACGACGTACACGTCTTCTCTCGCTGATTCTCCTATAGTAATAGTTTTAACACTAGGAGGACGGCGTTTAACGCATACCTCTACGGACGGCTTGCGGTCATTTGACCGCTGTACTATTTTTTCAGTAAAACATGGCCAATTGCGTAAATACTTTATTAAAATTAATTAAATAACTAAATTACAATAACATAAGCATTTGAAAGTGGAAATCATAAATGAAACTTATGATTCAAAGCAATTTGCATACAAGAAATTTGTAACTTTATTACATTTTCCGCATAAATTGTTTTTGCATCTATCACGCGTTCGGTTTTCTTTTTTGCGGCATTTAGTTGCATGGCATTGTTTCCTTTTTCCTCTAAACTTTTTCTTCAGCAGTAGGTCATTTTTATTAGTTTGACCTGACCTGACCCAACATCACTTGCTGCGAGTTCTTTTCACAATTTCAAGAGGAATTTTCGTCTCCTGATTTTCTTCTTTATCACTTCCTGATATAAAACCCATGCATTTAATACAGCCAAGTCTAAAATGTTATAAATAACTTGCCCTTGATCCCGCTTTGGACAAATTTTTTCTAGCCACTTGGTCCACCGTATCGTCGACATATTTTGTAAAGTTGCAATAAGCTATGGTGTCCAGAAGCTTTTTTCGATTATCTTGAATTATTATATCAGGATGCATTGTGCTCAAAAGCAGAACATTTTTGTTTTTTTCCCTTGATATACAGTCGGCGTGGTAGTATTATACTTCAGAACTTTTGTGTCATATACATTACCACTATCCGTCTTGAGGCGAATTATTCGATTCTGCGAGTAATTACAAATCTGTCATATATTTTCTCACCGAATGTTGCGAAATTTTCAAAGCAAAAATCACCAAGAAAAAGCACACCCTTCACGAAAAGAACAATATCCAAACCAAAGAATGTAATCAAGTGCAATGCCAAAATAAATTAAGTTACCACGAAAATTACCAACCATCTTAGTGGAAATTATGTCCAGATGTTGACAGTATGGGGTTTCAGGTAATTTTAATTTTTTCGAGAATTTTTGAAGCGATTTTAAAGCAGCGGTCAAATGACCGCACTCCGTCTTTCTAGGAAGACATATCCCCACACAGGTGACGAACAGTCCTATTGAATTGAGATTTTTTCCACATACAATCAAGAACAAATAAATAATTGTCACGAAGAATAATAACGAAACACTTTATAAAACCAGAGATATCAAGAATAAAAAATTCAAAAGCGGTCAAATGACCGCCTCCGTCGTTCTAGTGTTAAGGATGTGATTATACAATTTAGATTTTCTTTAATCTTTGAAATTTCCTATGATTTTTTTGAAAGTACACAATATTTACTGTAACTATGTAACCTTCTTATGCTACAATCGTTGCGTCACTGTAGTCTAAAGGCCCCGCCCCCGGCCTTTTTCGTGCAGCATTTGATTTGAAATGTGATTAGAATTACTTTTTTATATCAATATTATAATTACTCACACCATCAAATTAGATATCACAGCATACAAGCTTAACGTTAATGTTGCTCTATCATTTGCAAAAACATATTTGTGCATATTTTACCTTTTCTTTGTTTCCTGAATGAGCCATCTGGTAACTGACAGCGTTTATTTGCCATAAAATGAGAACCCTGAGAAAATACTAAATCTTCAAAATCTATTAGATGTCTTGATCCTGCAACTTGTGAACTTGTCCCTGTTTCCATTTCATCAGAGTGATCCTTCTGTCTCGCTGACCTTGATGTTGATTCTTCGTTTTCACCATCTTCGTCCCCTTTTCCAGTTTCCAAGAGACGTAAGATTCGAGCTAGGCTAGAATCTTCAGACATCTTATCTTTAATTTTTTGCCTTTCAGATTCACTTTGAGATTTTGCCAGTAAAGTGCAATACAAAACTAAAAAAAATCCGATATAATAAAGCGATTATACAATAATAAGATAAACGTACTCATCTGTCTATGTTTCTTTAATTGTTTTATGAAGTCAAAACAATCATATCCCAGTAGTAACACTAGCTGATTCTCGCATTCTCGATCATCAGTGGCATCTCGTAAAACATTCAAAACTTCTGCAGCTTTAGCCTGAGAAACCATAGCATCGTCGTAAATTTTTGAAAGGCGTCGTTGTAACCAATAAGCATCTATGTCAAGTGGATGTAAGGTTTTTTCTTTTTTCATTTCTTCTACACCACCCAACTGTAACAACACAAAAAACATAATAGATACATGTATCTTGTCAAATTAAAAATATGATTACCTATTAAGTGGGCAACATTACAGGAAAAAACCGATACGACAAAAATTTTAACACCTTTTTTTATTTGCTTACTTACATTTTCAGCATGAATGGCACTATCCTCTTTAGCTTCTTCACCTTCTTCGTCATCCATATCTTCACGAACTTCACCATACATGTCTTCGTCATCTTCTTCTTCTGACTCTTCGAACTGAACATTAATACCGTAAGTTTCATCTATGTTTTCGTCGTTGACGGAGGTTTTGTTTTCTTCACTTCCAAAATCAGTTATTTTTTTACCCAAATTAACAAGCAAAGCAAATCTTTCATCCGCAATCGAGCCTGTAAGTTATTGATCTTTTATTAGTGCATTTTATACAGTATAAATTTCAACTTCATAACATTACTGAGGTATTTATAACCATAATATAGAGGTACAGAACGAAAATCTGATAAGTGACGAAAATTCGAAAAACTATTTTTATATCCAGTACAATCATGTAACCTTAACACAATCAATTTGGCTTTCCCTACAGACCACAAGCCAATATTCCTAGTTATTTGAATCTCCTTGTTATTATTGTTTTACTTTGTGGATAAACCTTACTGAAAAATGATTTAAAAAAAATGTAGCTTTGTTTCGATTTTCGTCACTTATCGGGTTTTCGTTCTAAACTCTCGATATGTATCTACTAGCGAAGAAAATGAACGAAAAGCGAAACCGTACAATAACCGAGGGTTTAAAATGGAAAAGAATTTTATCAGTTTATTTAAAATTAAAAAATGACTGAACTATGGCAACACTTTTCTCTTGTGACGTGTTCAATACATTTTCAAAGTGTAATATCTCCATCATTAACAGATTTATTGTTATGAAATTTTAAATATAACTTTGGTGAAATTTGTCATCACGATTTAATGCATTTAAACTAATATGTATCTCAATTACTTATGGAAAGTTAAAAACGTGGTTTTCACCATTATTTTCAGGTTACAAAACTCTAGAAATCACAGAAGAAGTATCAGATTTTTTTTGTTGGAAAACAGTAAAAAGACCTTGTGTCGAGAAAACTGTTTTAACTGTACCTCATTTATGATGATGTCATATAGAATTATTATGACTACCAGGGACTAAACAAAACAAGTCAGCTGATACAGTACTGCGCACTACGCAAGCGCATGTGTTCTTAATTATGCCTGACTTTTAACTGACCGATACAGGTTGACTGTCTACAAACTGAATTAAAACTACTTGCCTAACAACGCCTCAGTTTCTTTTTTCTTTTCTTTATCTTTTAATCTATCATTCTTTAATACTGCAAGCACTTCATCAGCAGCTCCACATAGAATATCACGGGGCTGGTCGCCTAGAGCTTCTTGTAGAAAACTTAAAAGAACTTCGTACGTTTGTCTAGTTTCTTGTGTCTTTGGGCGATAAATTATTCCCACCATCTCATCAACGCCCTCAGACAATAAAGTTGCACCTTTCATCCTAGCGAAGTCATATTGTGCTTCATCTCGCTTCTGACGCCTACAGAGAAGTGTTAGCACATTTATGACCATGTGTACAGATTTTTAGTACTTACTTCACTTTACGTTCCTCCGCTTTGCCCGGGCGGGTTCGCTGAGCGCGATCTCCCATTTTAGTTCCGGACAGTTTTCCAACAAGGGAAACAACTTCTCCTGTTGCTTCATCTCGGCTTCTTCTTTCGATTAAACGAACGTCTGCTTGAAGTACAAGATTTGAATTCTGAAATGAAAGTCGTTTATGTTTACTTGTTTACTAACGTAACCTATACGTTGACTGAATACTGTTTTAAAATTAATAAAGACATTGTTTTTAACACTTTTAATACTTCTGTAATTTACGAATGAATAAACTGAGTTAATTAAAACCACATCACTGAACATAAAACATTACTGCTAATACTTACAGCTTTGTATTCGTACTGTAACTGCCTAGCCGCAGCATCCGCCATTATTACAAACACGACACCGAACGGATTAACATTTTGACAATTGACAATGTTGACATATGTGAATTTTTGCTGCGAGTAAGTGCACATGCGCATGTCAAAGTACTGCAAGGAAAATCCCTAGACATAAAAAATAACAATGAATAAAAACCCTAAGCAGTTAGAAATTAACATTAAGCATATTTTCGCGATAAGGTCGTCAAATTCGTGTTGTCACGTTTGGTCATGTAAAAAAAATAAAGATAATAATAATAATAATAATCCTATATTTTAGCATGACTATATAGTGACATGATTAAGATAATACATTAAATATTTACATGCGAAATTTGAAAGGCGTCTTCCTGATAAAAGTGAGGAAATTTCAGCAACTAAAAATTAAATTCCACAAGGCGTGTGATAGAAAACGCTTTTGGCTTATTAAACGGGAAGTTGAAAATATTGGACCCTAATATTTTAAACAGTGTGTAAGCACTATTTAAACTGCAGTGGTAAAAAGACCGATATTCTTGATATCTAACTTGAAAATATCCAGTGAGCGAAAGCTTGATTCTGTGTGGTTCTGTCGAAGAAAGCAAGTTTTACGATTTTACAGTGTACAAGAGTCCATTATAGCACATAGTGTCTATTATAATAGACCAAATTCTAGGTGTTTTCTACGCATATAGTAGCCCCAATTGTAAGATTTTTTATGGTTTTACACATTTTTTTATGGAAGTTGTGGTGATGAATTTGTAAGAGTTTCAAAATCCTAAAAGAAAAAATCGTTAAAGTGAACATGAAAGAGCTAAGAATGCTCTGAAACCAGTGACGTCTCGTGATCTTAGAGACTGAGGGGCAAATCGGAATAAAAAAGTTGATGCTATAAGTTTATTATATGTATTTTTTATATGCTTAAAAACTGATTCTACCTTCAAAATTTGTGAACTACTACTCCTCTAAAGTCCTTTCTTATGTATTTTTAAAATTGTATATAATTGCAGGTAAATTTGGGATAAACGAAGAAGTTGTGGCGGCACAATAATACGTCGGTAAGCAGAGTAAAGATAAGTTGTCTTGTGGTGTAGTGGTCAGCATACCTGCCCGGAATGCAAGGAGACGTGGGTTCGAATCCCACCGAGGCACAACATTTTTCTCTGCTTACCTACAAAGTGATTACAAATGCGCTTAAATCAAAAAAAGCTAAGGAGATGGCGCTTCAAGACTAGAAAAATCACTTTCTTGCTGTTCTTGAGGTAATCAATCTTTATTAAAATTAAATTAAAAATAGTGCATATCAAATTCTACCTAGGTGTAATACAGGAAATTTTTTATTATTTAAATTTAAAAGTTAAAATTTTTAAAAATTATGAAAAAGATTGTTGTTTATATTCAGATGAAACGCTTTTAACACCTGGAAAGCAATACTGCACAGCTTCCTTCTACTACACTCACCGGCATCAAAAACGAGCCACCTTTTTTTTTTTAAAGATCCGAAAATGTGCAAAATAAAGTACGATTTCGATTGTAATACTTCGATGTTGTTAAGCAATGTTTATTGTAATAGTTTTATCCAAAAAAAAAAAACTAAAAAATATATTATTTTAATAGAAAATGATAAAAATTCAATAATCAAACAAAGCGGAAAAAAATTAAAGTTTCCAAAAAAAAACAAAATTAATGATCATTGACACACTGTTTAAGGACGTCAATAACGGGTATTTCCTCCACGAACCTCTAAGACTGCTGACATTCTCCAGGTCATCTCATGAAATAAATTTTTTATTTACTTATATTCTTGTTGGATATTCTCTCATTGCTTTAAATGCATATTCTGAAGCTCACCTAAAGTGTGGGGTGCAAGTACACTCAGTTAATATGCTGGTCAAGAAACAACATCAAAAATAAGCGTAGTAAAAACGTCGAAGCACTGTACTCAGAAAAATATTAGCTGGTCCGTTTTTCATGCCGGTGAGTGTCGTGATATGAAGCCTTGGAAAAAAATATTAAAAATATACCTGCTGTCAAAAAACCCGAAAAGTAAAGACAGAGACATATTTTTATTTCGAAAATTCACATGTAGGTATACCTAAGCTCCCGTGACATTATAGTAGGTACTAACCGACATAGCATGACCATCTATAATCAATAATTTCTAAACCTGGAAGAAGGAATATAAAATCTGAAAAACTTTATTTTTCATGAGTGTGATGTATCTTGAGACAACTCCATTAGGTACCATAATGGGGGCGGCAACTATACTGAAAACATCGTTTATTGCTTTCATGAATTTTGGCGCGTGATCACTTATTTGAACTCTCACTCAGTTCTTTATATTTATTCGTCCATGGAATTAAATGAGGGGATTCGTTAAGCGGTGAATAAATGACAGCACTGCGACTTGTGGTTGGTGTTTTGGGTGATTGGTGGATGATTCGACATCTGTGATTGGGTAATGAATGACGTCGTCATCAATGTCAATGAACAAATTCAGTTTTATAATAATACTAGCTGACCCCGTGAACTTCGTTTCACCTACAATTTTATTTTGAATCTGCAAAAGCGAATGCTTTGAAATCTTGCAGATGTTTTAAACATATGATAAGCATAATAAATTTTTATTCAAAATAATATTTACTTCCTCCAAAAAAATGATGACGTTAGCCCAAAATTTTGCCAAATGCATCCTTTTTAAAATGTCCTAAATAGGATGAGACTATACTTGTGATTTATCATTCCATTCATATTTTTTAGTGTTGCTTATACGGAGTGTCTCAAAAAAATTAATCACTATGATGAGTCAATTTATTTTATTAATTAAATCAAGAATGGCAAAACTGAATTTTGAAATATTGCAGACGTTTTGAAGTTACTGTTTGACATGGTAGGTTTTTAATCAAAATATATCTGTTCATCAAGCCCAAAAACTTGATGACGTCATCTCAAGATTTTGCCGAATAAATCCTATCCAAAAAGTGCAAAATATCATCAGTATATTTTCGTAATTTATCATTGCATTCATATTTTTTAGATTTGCTTTTACAGTGACTCGAAAAAATGTATGGATCAGTCAATTTATTTTAGAGAATAACTCAAGAGTTGCAGAAATGACTACTTTGAGATCTTGCAGACGTTTTAAAGTTATTGTAAGCATGGTAAATTGTTAAGAATATTTATTTATTCCCCCCAAAAAATTGATGGGACGGCTCACTCGATTTTCGCAGATAATTTTGGGAATACAATACAGTTATTTTTAGTATTACACTGCACCAATCCAAGGTGGTATACGTGTTGATCGTAAATATTGATTAGGTCATCACAAAATTGTGTGAAGAAAAGACTCAACTCGAAAATGCTGAATATGTTTCATTATAATTTTGGTACGAAGGAAGTTTTGTCGAAACAACGTTCGATCAATTTTTTGACAATGGTTGATATAAATAAAACTCAGTAGATGCTCATACTCGAAATACGAATTATCTAGGTACTCGAATATCAAATCAAAATATTTCTAGTTTTTCTAGATGATGCTAATACTTCAGTAGGTAAGAGGTAATGCTCAAGTAGCATCTCGATAAAACAAAAACGGAAAACAGTGACAGTGTTCAACCATCAAGGCAAAAATCGAGTCACTAAAATATAAGTTAGTATTGGGTAGACACCTTGCGATGGGAATCTCTATGGCCAGTTAGGAAGAACTCACTGCACAATTTATGCATAAATAAAAGTTAATTATCTTATGACTTCAGTTTTAATTTATCGGATTCCGTGATTCGTTCACTCGACAATGTTTAAATTTTGGGAAAATTTTCCAAACGATTGAAGTCGGTTGATCAAAGCTATACATTTGCATGATATAAATTAATAAATTTTAAACATAATTAATATCACTTATAAATATGATAAGCATAAATATATATGATAATTAAACCGAAACTCGTTCTCCTAAAAGCCCGAAATTATTATAAACAAATCAATTTGTTTAAACATTGTTAAATTATCCCCAAAAATGTGCATTTTCCCGGCCAAAATATGAAAAATAATTTTTGCAGTCTCATCGTGACGTACGATGACGTCAGTGTCACGTGAGTTACCTGTATAAAGGTCACGTTTTGCGGTCCTCTGTGTTCAGTATTAATTTCTGTTTGATGGCAGCAAGATCGTCGCTTCATTTTGGCGTAAAAGTGGAGCGTTTTAGCGAATTTCTAGTTTATTATTAATACATATTACGGAAAATATGTTGTGTTAGTGCTGTGAACACGAACGAAAATGGATATTTTTCCGAAAAGGACAGAAAACAGGGTAAGTACGACTTCAGTTTTAATTTATCGGATTCCGTGATTCGTTTATTCGACAATGTTTACATTTTGGATAAATTTTCAAAACGATTGAAGTTGGTGGGTCAAAACTATACATTTTCGCGATATAATTAAATAAAATTTAAACATGATTAATATAATTCATAATGTTTAAGTATGATAACTATTAATATATGATAATTAAACCAAAAACAATTTTTATAAGAACACGAGGTTAGCAAAAACCAATTAGTTTGTTTAAACATTGTTAAATTAACCCCGAAAATGTACAATTTCTGAGCGAAAATATGAAAAATAATTTTTGCAATCTCATCGTGACGTACGATGACGTCACTGTCACGTGAGCTACCTGTTAAAAGGTCACATTTTTCGGTCCTCTATGTTTAATTTTGATTTCGGTTTGGTGGCAGCAGCATCAGAGCTTCGTTTTGGCTTAAAAGTAGGGCTCTTTTCACGAATTTCTAATTTATTATTAATAAATATTAGTGAAAATGTGTTGTATTAGTACTGTGTATACGAACGAAGATGGATATTTTTCCGAAAAGGACCGAAAACTGGGTAAGTACGATTTCAGTTTTAATTTATTGGATTCCGTGATTCGTTCAGTCGACAATGTTTAAATTTTGGGAAAATTTTCGAAACGATTGAAGTCGGTTGATCAACATTTTCACGATATAAATTAATAAAATTTAAACATAATTAAGAAAATTCATAATGTTTAAATATTATAAGCATAAATATATATGATAATTAAACCGAAACTCGTTGTCCTACAAGCCCGGGATTATTAAAAACAAATCAATTTGTTTAAACATTGTTAAATTATCCCCAAAAATGTGCATTTTCCCGGCCAAAATATGAAAAATAATTTTTGCAGTCTCATCGTGACGTACGATGACGTCAATGTCACGTGAGTTACCTGTATAAAGGTCACGTTTTGCGGTCCTTTGTGTTCAGTATTAATTTCTGTTTGATGGCGGCAAGATCGTCGCGTCATTTTGGCGTAAAAGTGGAACGTTGTAGTGAATTTCTAGTTTATTATTAATACATATTACGGAAAATATGTTGTGTTAGTGCTGTGAACACGAACGAAAATGGATATTTTTCCGAAAAGGACCGAAAACAAAGTAAGTACGACTTCAGTTTTAATTTATCGGATTTCATGATTCGTTTATTCGACAATGTTTAAATTTTGGAAAAATTTTCGAAACGTTTGAAGTTGGTGGGTCAATGTTATACATTTTCGCGATATAATTAGATAAAATTTAAACATAATTAATACAATTCATAATGTTCCAATATGATAACTATCAATATATGATAATTAAACCGAAATCCATTTTCCCTACGAACACGAGGTTAGCAAAAACAAATTGGTTTTTTTAGTGTTTAAACATTGTTAAATTAACCCTGAAAATGCACAATTTCTGATCTAAAATATAAAAAATAATTTTTGCAATCTCATCGTGACGTACGATGATGTCACTGTCACGTGAGCTACCTGATAAAAGGTCACATTTTCGATCCTTTCTGTTCAGTTTTGATTTCGGTCTGGTAGCAGCAACATTGGAGCTTCGTTTTGGGTTAAAAGTAGCACGTGTTCGCGAATTTCTAATTTATTGTTAATAAATATTAGCGAAAATGTTTTGTGTTAAGTGTTGTGAACACGAAGGAAAGTGGATATTTTTCCAAAAATGCCCGATTTTTTTTTAAATATGTTGTTAATAACATGCATTCAGGACTGATAAAGTACGCCTTTAGAATATACAAAGTACTGCGTTCATAATTTACAAAATACCATATTCATCATTTTTAAAGTACGGCGTCCAAATTTACAAAATACGGTGTCCTTCACCCATGCTATCAAACCTTAGTCCTCTCTTTTAATGGCAAAACGCACTCCAGACCTCCTCGTATTGTTTGGTTCTTGCTGGACAACAGCAACGAGCGAGCACAGTCATCGCTCTTTGGTGGCAAACGTGGAGAAATTTGTATATTGTAACTTTTGTAATTGAAGCATTTTGTACTGTATATTGTATGTGTTACTAACTTAACTTGGGTCTTGCCAATTTAGCTCCAGTGGTGCAAATGCTTTGTTTTCACGGTGCACTTGCTTGGGTTTTAATTTTGCAACAGTGCATTCTTTGGTTCCGAGACTGAATTCTCCATGTCGTCAGACGCTCTGGCCTGGGGGGGGGGGGGGTTTGTTGGCCCTTAGACGCTGGGTCAACATCCTAAACGGACGAGGTCAGTCGGCCCTGTATCTATGCGGCTGCGTTCTCCCTTGAGCGTGTGAGCGCTGCGACCTATAGATTTCGTTTCGAGTTCCATCGGTGTGCTTGCTTGGGTATTAATTTTGCAACAGTGCATTCTTTGGTTCCGGGTCTGAATTCTCCATGTCGTCGGACGCTTTGGCCTGGGGGGGTTCTGTTAGCCCTTAGAGGCTGGGTCGCATCATCCGATAAGGATGAGGTCAGTCGGCCTTGGATTTATGCGGCTGCGTTCTCCCTTGGGCGTGTAAGCGCTTCGACCAATAGATTTCGTTCCGAGTTCCATGGGTGTGCTTGCTTGGGTTTTCATTTTGCAACATTCTCAATTTTTGGTGCAATTTTTTCCGGTGGTGTATTGGGTACTAACTTTGCATTTGTATTGTATCTGAATTGTATCTGTATCTGTAGTGTATTCTGTATTGTAGTTAGATTGTAGGTACCTGTACTGTATTTCTGTTGTATTGTACTGTATAACGTTCTATCCCTCATTAACAAATCCTAGCCCTCTCCTTTCCTAGCGAGATCTGCTCCAGACCTTCCCGTGGTTCTTGCTGAGCATCAACTATCGAGGACGACAGAAAATTCAAATTCAAAACCAGCACAAAGTTTCACAAAAATCATGAAAATCGCTCGTTGGTGGCCAACGTGGAGCAAAAGAGACTTTTGTAACTCAACTAACTTTGTTAACTTTATATTCTTAAGGAAACAAAAATATATTACATTTAATTTATTATTTATAAGGACAAATAGTCATTTGCCACGCCGATGCTCATTTTTAGATTAAATGCTCACAAAACGCGTAGATGTTCAATTTGTGTCCGGGGAGATACAATGTTTACAAGTAGGTACGCAGTATGTACATAGAGTTAGCTCAGGTATATAAGAGTAATAATGAAGTAGGTACTTCGTACTTCGAATATGAGTATCTACTCAGTTTTATTCATACCATCCAATGTCTCGCTTCAATGTTTGACTATTATGTTGATTATGAGCACAACGCTGATCAACTTCCGTATCCGAATTACCCATGAAATAAATCATTGCGATTTGCACCTGAGGTAGTTCGTCGCACATTTGATTGACTTCGTGGACCTATGTCAGCTTGTTGTCTTCTCAGCATTGTAATGAACTTCATAAAACGACACAGAATTATTTTCACAGTCAATCAAATCTGTAAATTTTGTCTTGAGAATTTTAAAATATTGAAAACTTCAAATTAAATCCTCGAATAACGGTAAAGGTTGAGGTTTCGTCGAAACCAACAAAGTGAACAAAGGTAAATAGAATGACAGTTCAAAATTAATAAGAAACTTTCGCAATGTGTAACTAAATTCACTTTAACCAAGACTTTTCTTAAAATAAACGACGTTTTTTTTTTGCGAAAAAACAAAGAACAGCTTGAAATGCAATATACTTTTCACAATCGCACGGATGAAATAGTTTTGTATGACACGTCAGTTAGACGACAGGTCCGTCAGGAACGCCAACTATTCAAATTAATTCGAAGTGGCGATTCCCATACAAAATTTTTAAAATTTTTTTTATCTTTTAGCTGCTTTATTTTTTATAAATTTTCTTACATATAAACCTTGTCCTGACAGTAAGGAACACATTTAAAAAAAAATCATCCATTTCGGTACAGTCGTTCTGAAGTTATGGGCGTACATACATTGCGGCGATTCATTTTTATTTATATAGATTTTAAAATAAAAATTTACGGGTATTAAAACCAGCGTGGGTAAAACTCAACAATTTACTTCTCATTAGTAGGTACTAATTTACACATTACTCGACTAACTATACAGCGATTATGTACAGAATAATTCCGATTCGACTGGAATCTTATTGACTGGACTAGACTGCCCCCATGTCCCATAGAATACCCCCACTATAGAGTACGCTCTATTAGACCTGCTCACGTAAGGTTAGAAGCAACCACTGTAAGCCATCACTTCATAATTCAAAATGCTATGAGTTCCTTATGGGAGCTTGATTTTACAGACAAAATATATCGGATAGGTAAAAATCTTAATTACTTCTTGTTGCAAGCGGTAAAGTTTGTATAATTATCTTCATGTTGCTAAAAGTTTAATTCTATAGAAAGGTGCAGTTAAAAAAATATTGGAAATTGAAAACAACGATATCATCAAAGTAATGCAGGTACAAAGACTGAATAAATAAAAAAAAACATAATACGTTGCACCAGAAATAATCTAGAGTACCTACCATAGCATTCCACATTGAAAGAAGAAAGAGCCAGTATTTAAGATGAAGATTAATTGTTATTACCTAATACAGTACTCGATAAATAAATATGGCAAATTTATAATCTGTAGTGCCTTGAAGGAGAAACAAACTTAAACGTGAACGCTATTAAAAAGGATAAAACCTGGAACACTGTTACACTACAAACTTGGCTGAAATAACATTAATTAGCAATTTCGAAAACAAAACAGTGACAGCGTATGGCGTTTTTGAAACGCGCTACCTCACAAATCGACAGTTGTAATGGCAAAGTTCTTCGGACATAGCTTCGTTTGACTTCTTCCTCTTTACGTCCTTCTTCCTCTTTAAATTTGACTAAGTGGAAAGTTATTTTCATTGAATAAAATGGTCATTGAGTGGGCTTTTGCAGGGTTTGAATAAATATGCTTTACTGACTGGATGAAGACATCGGAAAACTAGTTGGACCAAATGAATAGCTCTCAAAGATTGTGTTGAAATATAAAATTGATTTTTTCCAGAAAAATATTTTGCTTTTTTACCACATTTATAAAACCTCGTATTATCAATAGAGGATTTAAAAAAAGGTTACTTTTAAAAGAGAAATCCGAATTTTAACCTATTAACTGCAACATTAACTAAAATTTCTAATATGGAGTAAAATCGCAGATCTAAAGGTTTGATCTATACTACATAACTATATAAATACATATGTTGTACATAAATTTTTGAAAAAGTTTATTAAAATTATAATTTTGTACTATAGCAGTCTAAAACTTGTGAGGGAACAGGTGAGCAACAACAAGTGTCCAAGGATACAGTGCTAACAGTTTCTTCCAGAAAAGGTCTTCTAGGGACAGATGGAGATGGGGCTCTAATTATAATCGCCACAATTGTTTCGTAAATTGCACGCCCAGGTTGCTCGCTGTTTACACAATGAGCTGTGGCACCACAGTAATTTTTTAAATCATCATAATTTTCACAGTAATATAAAAGCTAAAATTAATTCATTATAAATATCATCAATATCAACATAAGTATATAACAGTAACTATACCTCAGCGTCGATGAATTCTTTATTGTCTTTTGGATGAGTTTTCATTTGTTTTAATTTTTCCGCCTCTGGATGTTCTTTAATATTGGTAACAGAACCAGTGTCCACGTTAACTTTTCTATGTAACAGTCGTTCTTTGCAAACAGAAAGTTCACATTCCAAAAAGATTACTCTTAAAATATTTTAAATAGAATATACTATTTGATAAAATTCTTAATTTCTCACCTGTTGGGAGGAGTGTAAATAGAGTCTAAGTATTCGAAGTCTTTTTTAGAAAAGGGAAAACCAGTTAATACCCAACCGTGCTCTATACAGTCTTCTTCCAAAACCCTCTTATGAATAACTTCCGCCAGTAATTCTGAATGTAAACATACATCATTTTTGCAGGATCGAAGTCTTTTACCCAATTCTGATTCGGACATCCAGGCCTCACAAATCAAGCGTTCGAAATCAACTTAAATAATAACTTGTTTTAAAATGTGCTGCCCTTTATTCTTGTTATTATTATTATTATCATCATCATCATAGATCATAAAACAATGAAAAAGTACCACATATGTTAAGCAAGGTTTAAGTGAGGGGTCTGAAACACGTTTTGATATCCTGTAGTATGTAATTAAGATGATTTTCTCTGTCTGTGTATTTGCATCAACACAGAACCACCTGCACTAACAGTACGTAAAAAAAATACAAATGCAACATATTTTTGGTTTTTATTTATTATTGTTTAAGAGAAAATTAATGACTTCGCCGCGTTTAAATTATATAAATTGACAACGCAGAGTTAAAACTCCATCCGTGCGTCCCTGGGTCGACGTACCCTTTTTTTTTAAACAGAACATAAGGATTAAGCCCATATTTAATGTATTGGGAGTTAGAAAAATGTGCCGGTGTAACAACGAAATAAGTTCCAGTCTTGATCGGAACGTTAATAATAAACGATCACTACACACTTACCATGTACCAAATTAAGTCCTTGTGATAAAAGTTTTGCCTGAGTTTTCCTTCCACATCCTCTTGGACCCAGTATTAAAACTCTTGGTTTAATTGCATATTTTGCGGGTTTTATTGTTAATATTTCCACACATTCTATTACAATGTCTTGCAAAGTACGTTGCTGTATAAAAACTTCCTAAGAATATAAATTAAATCATAATCGTTAACGAATTACTAAATATTACACTTAAAACAGATTTAAAAACATCCCTCAGTGCCATAATATTTCTTCTATATCCAGGCCATTCAATAGGAACGTGACAATAAAGTAATTCAGTCAAAGATGGAAGAAACGAAGGTATAAAATGTATTACATGCGTTGGAAGAATACCCAGTTTTATGAGAGCTTTTGCATCTTTTTTATTTCTAATACAATCTAGAAATTTACGGGTATTTTTGTGTAATCTTAATCAAGTTGATCAACGCATGAAACAATAAAATTGTTCAGTTTTAAATGTATGTATAACACAAGTAGTACATTTAACATTTAAAAATATCAGTCTATAATTTTCCAAGAAAGCTAGTTTTTTATTTACTTGCAAATTACTCCAAATAATAACAGAATTCTAGCCATTGTTTATAGTGGGTTGATTTATTTTAAGGAAATATGGGAAAATACGGTTGTTTGAAAATTGTAATTTACTAATTTACTTACCCACCAAAATCCAGCCATTTTCGTAAGCGTTGTCTCTACGTACAAGACGAGCTGTGTATTTAGCTCTGACACCCGAGTTTTCTAGATTCGAATGCCCACTCTAAAGGTAATATTGCTATTAAATTTTGTTTAGTAAATAAATTAATTTTACATATGTAACTAAGGAACTTTCAGTGATAATATTCTGATTAGTTACTCCAGCAATTGCTCTAGCAATTTCTAAGCAGTCAATTTTTGGAGAACATAAAATAATTAATCTGCTAGTATCTCTGCTTCTAGCGGCATTAAATAGAATTTGTTTGAGAAACAACACATGATCGTTTGGCTGTTGGATAATAAGTTCTCGGGCTAGTTCCTAAAAATGTAAACCTTATCTAAATCATTTGAAGGAAACTGAAATACTTAACGTGAAAAAGTTCAAATATTCTATGTTTTTCCAAGTAGGGAATTTGCCACGGAGGAATGTGAAGAGGTCTTTTTGTAGCGTCGCCCATTCAAAATAATATTTGTTTGACATGTGATATTATCTATGGACATGTGTCACATATAAACTTTAACAAATTTTTCATAGCCTATTTATTATATAGTACACATTATCATACTATTTGGAATTTCACTTGTATCTCCTTTAGGATGGCAGCGGTCGATGAGATTAGCAGCTTTATAGTTACTCGTCAGTGGAAGAAACAAAGACACTATCGTGGCGTCCAAATTTAAAAATTAAAATTCGCGCCGAGGATAAAACCAAAACCCCAAAATCGGATTTGAAAATAAAAATCATTCTAATAACGTAAGCAACCATCCGTTTTTAGCGCGTTTACAGAACTGATAGAAGATCACCTTTTATGTTGGAAATTTAGGGAGTGTTTCAAACCGTAGCCTTTTTTTTTTGAAGGCCACGCACTTCTTGTTGTTTGGTGTGCGAAAAAGACGACAGATTAAGTTTTGTTTGCAATTTTACCAAAGGGAAATTGTTTAAACAAAAATAAATCGAGTTAGACGACGCAGTCCCCGTGAACGAGTATAATTGTAGCATAGTGAAATCAATTTTTTAACGTTTTTACTTCCCGAGCGTAAGCCAAGGAAGTAACTTTTGTAATCGAGTCCATCCGGCGAGTAGCTACTTTTAGGATTTCTCGGTATTTTATGACCCCCAGAGCACAAAAAATAGGTCTCACGTTTCCGTCTGTCTGTCTGTCTGTCTGTCTGACTGTCTGCTGTCTCCTCGGATTTTTATTAGATAATCGCTGAAACTAATAGAATGACGTCATTTCCAAAATTTACAATAGTACAATATATCTATTTTTTAATTTTATAAAATAACATACTCTTGCACATCCAGATTTTTGGAAAAAAAATCAAAATTATATCACATTTTACAATTTAACTTTGAAACTGTAAAACCGAATGCTCTGAAATTTTGCAAACGTTTTTAGATTATCGTAATGATGGTAAATTGTTAATCAAAATTTATTCTTTTATACCCTCCTAAAAAATTGATGACGTCATCTCCAAATTTTGTCAAATAAATCCTTTCTAAAATATACAAAATGTGATAAATCTATACTTGTGACGTATCATTCCATTTACAGTTTTTATAATTGCTTATAAAGGGTGTCTAAAAAATAATTAATGAGTCAATTTATTTTATTGTTTAAATCAGAAATTGTAAAACCCAATGCTTTGACTTCTTGTAGAGATTTTAAAGTTACTGCAAACATGGTAAATTTATACTCAAAATATATCTGTTTATTTCCACTAATAAATTGATGACGTCATCTCAACATTTTGCCGAAAAAATTATATCGAAAATGTAACAAAATATATAGTCTATGCTTGTGATTTACCATTGAATTTATATTTTTTAAAATTACTTATACCGGGTGATTAAAAAAAATAAATGAGTGAGTCAATTACTGTTATCAAGTCCGTCAGCCAACTTTGTACTTTTACTTTTTCTCGACCATTCATAACCCCTAGATTACGTAGAAATAAGTTTCCCGTTTCCGTCTGTCTGTCTGTCTATCTCTCTTCCTGTCTGTCGGTCTCTCTGTCTGTCTGTCTGCCGTCTGTCCAAATTTTTATTAGACAGATATTCTCCGAAACTACTGAACCGATTGTTGTCAAATTTTATATGTGTATTAGGATATATTATATGTGTAGAAGGAGGAAAATTTGAATAATCATCTCCAGCAACAATTTGATGATGTCCGCTCATTATATTGTATAATTAACATTACCGATTTTGTATGAAATGATATGTTCCTGTATTTGTGGTTTATGAATATATCTTGATTTTGTTTATTGTTGCTATATTTTTTTATTAATTTACTTAAACTTTAAACTGGAAACGATCATTCAATTTTCCCGAAAATTTGGGAACACAATACTGTTATTATTAGTATTACACTGCATCTATCCAAATTCTTATCCATGTCTTTGCAAAAATGTTGAGACGTCACAAAATTTTGTAAAGAATAAACTCATTTGAAACATACCCGTAGCACGCTTTTTTACATTTACTTTAACATTACATACATATCTTTATCTCTAGATGTTCTCATAAAAAAAAAACGAAATTTACAAAATTCTATCGAAATAACTTTCAACCAGTTTTTTAAATTTTTGTTCTAGTTGGCTATGACGCTTACGTCAGCCGTTTCAATTGCACTGCTGATGTACGCGTCATGGTCAACTAGACGAGAAATTTAAAACATCAGATGTTGTTATTACCCTTATTGCCGCGACATACTAACTTATATCTATTATAACTTATAACTCTATAAGTGATCAATTGTATTCTCCATAACATATAAAACCCTGTAGTACGCCATAGATACATTTAAATTTTCTTTTCAAGATTGTTTATTTTAGTAAATAAAATAAAATGATAACACGTAGAGGAGAATAAAACAGAAATCACATTTTATTTACATGAATTTAACCATAATGTTTTACAAATAAACATATCTATTTTTTTATATACAAAACAGTATTTTTAAATATCGCTACGAAGATTGATATGGATATTCCACACTTATTCGGAAAATATAATTTTTGTCACTTAAAATTAATTAACAACGGTAATAAAAATGAAATTATGTTTTATTATTGCGATGCTAGGTAAAATTATTTAATCGCAAACAAAAAGAAAATTGTTCTTGGTATTTTATATGAAACATTAATACACAAATCGCTTTCAGTATATCTACAATATCACATTTTAATATTTATCTAACAAATATTTATATCTAAATAAATCTCCATTGGTAGATAATGCAAAGTAGTTGATTTTAAACATTTTTGTTATAAATATATTGTTAGTTTTAATTTTAACATTCAAAACAATCATTTTGTACTACGCTGTCACTAAGAAAGTGTGTAAATCACGTTTACTACATTATGTATGCAATGTAGGTATACCAATAAAATTTTATTGGTCTATTTAACACGGAAAACCAAAATCATTATTAATAGTGTTATCGATTTTCAAAGCAACAAATCAATTACTTCGCATTAATAAAATTCTACTTAATTTATAATGTACACTATATATGTATATGTCAAGAAGTAAATCATCATATTATTTCAGTATTAGATAGAAATATTACACAAACAACAAATTCCTAGTGATTAGAATATTTTCGTACTTGTAATTTTCACACCAACTTCAGCACGTCGGCATATTTTTTTTGTGAATTGCATTCTATATTCGCAATAATAAAGAGAATAAACACCGGTAACGTGGTGTAGAATCAGTCTTCTACAAATATACGTCTGGATATTTTTTTTTACTTTTAGACTTTAGTAGATTATATTGGTGTTGTATGGAGTAATAAGAAATGTAGACACATCAAGTTTTTATATTATTAACATATAAAACCTATTAGTTTTAAATTAAAGTGTTTACGTTTCTACTGTAAAACAGTCGACCTATATACATGCTGACTGTGTGTAGGCCACTTCTCTATCTCTTATTTTCTAGCAAATCAATAAAATTTTCTAGAGCACCTATTCCAGTTAATAAATTTATATTTTACACAAATTCTAATCTTTATTAAACACACAAGTCTCTCAATTTTAACACAAATATGGATATGTAGATTGGACAGTGTATGCTGATTCTGTAAGTTAGACTTCACTCTAGCTACGTTTTGGTAAAATTAAAACTATGATTATTCTGACAAACATCGCATTAAATTGGGCTAGTGAACGGGGTTATAAAACAGAACAAAAAATGTAGGTATTTAAATTAATAATAATAGTTATTTTTGTATTAGGGGCGTGATGAAGGCGATTTTGACGTACGCCCGAAATGCAAATAAGATTTTTTGTAAAATCGATTAAATCCACTTTAAAGTTTGAAAAAAAATACTCGTAAATTACACAATTCGTTTTCAAAAATCAAGTTATATTATTGGTTGCTAATATGGTGCAAAAAAAAACATTAATAAAAACGTTATTGACGTGTTTCACTAAGAAGTTCAATTTGTGAAAAAAATATGTCCGAAAACAGAAAACAAGAAGAAATAGCTATTTTAGTTGAAGAAGCAAAAGCTGTAAATATACAACAAAGTCAAGTATTAACCTTGAAGATAAACATTAAGTAATTTTGTCTGTTGTTTTAGTTTTTTAAGTTTTCATTATTTATTAGGTATTTTAATTAACTAATTGTTTGTAATTCATATTTCAATAAAATAGCTATTTCAGTTCTTGGTTTTTTCGGCTTTAGGGCACAAAAGGCACTATTTACGCCCTTCAAATTATTGTATAAATGACTGCATTTTGATACGATTTTACAAAAAACATTTAATAAACACAATTATAATGAAACCTAGATTTGGTTTTGGTTTTAAAATTGAAGTCGAAAGAATGCCTTATTCTATTACCGTATTTTGATATTACTATCAGTATGATAAGAGATGTTCAATTAAAAAATCACTCAGGTCAGAGTAACCCTTGGAATTTTATTTGATACAATAACATACAACATACAACATATAACAGGTTACGTTTCTGCCAAATGAATGTTATAAGAATAGACATGCCGTTTGTGTCAAATAAAATTCCAATGCTTCTATGAGTGATTTTTTAGTTGAACATCCTTTATAATCGGATATGTCTGTCAACTTCTAAATGTGTTAACAACATGACATGACATTCGTAAACTTAAACTATCAACTCCATTTTTAAAATCACAGCCAATTCCCTTTGTTTATCGTATGATAATTCACTTATAAATTATTATAATTTTCAGTATACATATATGTACATAAATATTCTATTTTCATAAGTTAAATCGAGAAGTGTATGTACTGGATGTTCCATCTTAACTATTTAGTCAAAATTACTATCAAAATTGTCGCCGTTTAAGAAAATTACACAAAAAAAACCTCTGGAAAATAGATTCTGTTTAGGGGATCATAAAATGAATCGTAGTGCTTTCTGTTTTGAAAGAAATAAAACCAACTGTTGTTTCATTTATCTGTTTATTTATTTGGAAATATTATTTTTTTAATACAATTAAAAAAATACAGTAAGAAACATAACAAAATTTTCAAAGTGAAAAATGATTGTTAACAATCGGTAAAATAATCGGAACTAATGAATATGACCACAGTGTACATTTTTTGTTCAATAGATAATATACATACACATTGAGTTCTCGGCACTTTAGAAAGAAATCTTGATACCGTATTTAATTTAACATCATCATATAAAAAGCAAAAATATCTTTATATGCGCTAAAACTGAAAGTGAAACCGTAAATTGATAACGTCTCTCAACAGCCATTATTTTGAAAATTCTTTATCTTATAATTTGTTTTCAAAACAGGGAAAATTTTTGAAATAATTTAACAAATATAGTTGAGATGAAACACCCTGTTTAAAGAACATGATAGTGTAGTAATTTGGCACAATATTTTCACTCACTGTGTTTAAATATAATTGCCTAACACGTAATTTAAGATTTACTTCTTGAATAAATTCTATCTAGCAGAAATTGTATAGACAATTTCTGTGGAGAGGTACACAGAACAGCAAATTTTTCTAATTTATAGATATGATCACGTAAGTTCATACTGTTTTCTATGTAAAGCATTCATATCATTTTGCTGATTTTGTACCACTATGGGTATGGTAACACTGCTTTGGTAGTTTCTCTGCATTCTGTATCCCACAGGTTGTTGGTTTTGTATCAAAACTTGATCCCTTGCTTCTTTGTACTGTTGATACTGCATCTGGTTATAATACTGTTGCTGTAGCAATTCTCCATTACTATACATTGGTTTGACAACAGTTACGGGCGGACCGTACAATTTATGAGTAGGACTATAAGCGGGTTGCTCGTAAGGAATGTGTTTTGGCGAGTTGTTCATGTAAGTCTTGATAGGGCTTCCGTGTTGATTGTAGCTAGGATATTGTCGAGTTGGTGCAGGTTGATAGTTGGGTTGATTTGTGTACATCGGACTGATTGCTTGATATTGCATTGCTGACGAATAATTGATTTGGTGAGGAGAATTCTGTGGCATGTAACCAGGACTGGCATAGTTCAGTGGCTTATATGACACTTGCGTAATACCATAAGACTGATGAATAACACTTTGTGGTATCTGCAACAAATAGACAAACAAATTATGTGACAATTGATTGAGCCATTTTTGAAATTTTTGAAATTTTAATATTGAATCGGAACAGTTTATGCGTGCTCATTATTCACTCTCAAATCTATTAGATTTGGCGGCAAAATTTGTTAAATTTAAACCTATTTAAAAAGCAATTAAATGTAAAGTTTAAGATTTTTCATTATTTATTCTCCATACTGAAACTAATGGAAATCAGTACATCTACACATATACTTGATGTACTATATAAAATATTGATTTTAAGTTTTTGTACCTGATTCACATATCCTCTCTCAGGTGGTCTGGCACCTTCTCTCACAATTTCAGCAGATCGTATACCCTCCCCACGTCCTTTCTCAACTGACGGAGCTTTTACTCTGCGTTTTGGGGTAGCTGGCAGAGATCTAGACCCCGCACTTGCTGTCTCCCAGTCCTTCAAAAGCGCACTTAAACGAGCCGCTTCAGCGGCTTTTTCAGATTCACTTTCAGAGTTATAGTCCGGACCCTGGAATTGAAAAACAATTAGTGTAGTAACAACGTACAGTTTTTTTGCACAGATTTTACTGTATCAATTTACGTAACATATGAAGGTAGAAAGAAATAATCAGAAATGTATATCATTCACAAAGTACATATACTGAAAAACTAGTGCTTGTAAAAATTCCCTGTTATAGAAGAATTAATTTTCAGGACATTAGCACAATTATTTTATGTAACTAATATACCTATAAGAACACTGTCATAAAGGTAGTACCTACAGAAACACATGATTTTATATGCTGATGACAACTCTTTCATTACTAGTTAGTAACAAGCTTTTGAGAAATCTTAGCACGAATATTATAAAGTCAATAGATGAAAATTGCTCGCCGTAAATCTCTAAGAGCTCACAATTATAACTCAAAATATCATGTTTTATAGAAACTTCCCAATTTAACAAGTTGTTCATTTTTAGTTAATAAGCTAATATAAATAAGGTATATCGGGCGAATGGCTACCTGAATTATTTCTCCCGTTACCGATTTTATTAGGCAGATAATCTCAGAAACTACTGGACCGATTGTTCAAATTTTATATGTATATTAGGAATACCACTTATATAACCAAAATCTATCTACTCATGTCGACCAACAATTTTATGACCTGTATCTTTACTGTAACTTGTACGAGTTGTTTTAAAAAAGTAAAATATGCAAAATTAGACTGAATCTGCCTGAGATACCTCTGGAGGAGGGAGGTGTTGGAAAATAATTAGTAAAATTAAAAAATACTAATTTCTTGGACGATCTAATAATCTTTTGTTATTTAGTTAAATTGCAATTAACAATTTTTCGCAAACGGACCAACGGACTCGGTAGGGGCTCGTAATCAATGTTTTACAAAATATACAAATTTTTTGCCTAAAAAAAACAAGTTTTTACGATAAGTGTTTCGTATAAATTTACTTACATTTTGTATTTTTTCATCCAACATCTTAAAGAAATCCTGCTGACTCGTTGAAATTTCTCTATAAAAACAAATACGTATTAATATGTATAAATGAGGATGAATTTATTACGCTTGTGCTAAAAGAGGTCCGCCAAAAGGTTTTACTTTGATTGTTTTCCTTGCCTCGCAGTCTTCTATATTTTCACCATTTTCCAGCTCGTTTTCTACGCTTTCCTCCTCTTCAGATTCCGTTTTTTCAGGAACTCCTGCAAAAACAAATAATATCCTTAACTAAAAAAATGTGATAAAATATTTTATTATTTATTTTAAGGGGGATGGGAGAGTTTTTGTTATTGAATGTTACACTATATATAAATATAATGTTATTGTAAAACCAAATATTTTCAGATACATCTAATAAATTCTTCAGACGAAAGAGAGCAAATATAATTACTGCTTTCGCATTTGTTGACGGTTCAAATCCCGCTTTTTGAAAAATTATAAAATTTGGTTTTGCCTAAATAACATCCTCCGCAGCCCCTGTGCCGCGGGGCCCTAAATTGCAATGTATCGTGGTCCGCATAGTCCAAACGATAGAAAATATATTTAAACCAGATAACCAACGGGAAAATGAACTATTATTAGTAGTTAGTAATTACATGATTAACTAAGTATTTATGTTTATACTTCGAAAGAATGCAACTATAATCACGTACAAGCATCAGCGGCCCCATAAAAGAAAATGAAATTTGATTGATTTTGACTCCTTAAAACAGATGAGTGGACTGATTATTGTAATAAAAATTATTTGCAATGTAATATTCTTCTTGATTTGATAAATAAAATTGATCGAAAGTTGTTTCGATAGAACTTTCCTCGTACCTAAAGTACAATGAAACATATCCAGCATTTTCGAGTTGAGTTTTTTCTTTACATAATTTTGTGATTACGTCATCAACATTTTTGTAAAGACACGTAAATCATCTTGGATTGGTGCAGTGTAATACTAAAAATAACGGTAGGGTAAATGTGTACAAGAGTGCGCATATGTATAAGAGTACGCACTGATGATTTCTGCTTATTAGTGCCATCTGGGTAAGATGAAGTTATACCATTCAGAATTTAATGTTAAACCTGAGATAAAGGTGCAAAAGTGACCTGAATATAGTTTATAGTTTGGTCGTACTGACGATTTTATGTTCACACGTTGTGTGGATGTAATTTTTACCGCTCATAGTTTTAGTTTTTTGTAAGGTACGTACCAGTTCTTTTATTTTACAGTAATAATTTTCATTAGTTGTAACTTTTAAGGTGTCGTTATACACTAACAGTTTTACACTTTCTGTCCATCAAAAGCTTTTAACTTTGAAAACATTATGTTATGTACAATTGTACAAGAGTGCGCAGCGAGGTATTGTATAAGCGTGCGCATTGCTTGCAATATGTAGTCTAATAGTCTTGGAGATACATATCATACGGTAATGAATTATTTAACTCTACTACTTTGTACTGCTTCTCGAGTTGTGGGGTGGTGGTTATGGTGATTTTTTTTTTATTTTTACTTCCTGAGCGTGTTGTAATCGAGTCCGTCGACCGACTTTCTATTTTTACGTTTTCTCGTCTTTTCAAGACCCCTAGAGTACGAAGAAATAGGTCTCCCGTTTTATGTGTAGTCTGTAGTCACTTATTCCCATTTATTTTCACCTTAGAAACAAATATTTTTTCATAAAATGTAATGCGTACTCATAAGCGTTCAAATGCGCACTCTTGTGCAATGAACTGTCTAACAGTGCGCATTTACACATCTTGACAAAAATTGAAATTACTCTTAAAATATAGTGGTGTTGGGGCGTACAATTAAATATATCTGATCTCTAAACATGTATATAACGAACCCATATCATAAAATTTGTCTATCCAAAAAAATTAAAAAGTTGTTGACAGTTTTACACTAAGTGCGTACTCTTGTACACATTTACCCTATTGTATTTCCAAAATTTTGTGGGAAAATGGAGTGAACCGTCCCTGATTTAATGAATAAAATAAATTTTCAGACACCTGTTTAAGCAAATCTAAAAAATATGAATGCAGTGATAAATCGCAAGTAAAAGCTCATCATATTTTGCACATTTTTTAGGGGAATAAAGAGATATATTTGGATTAAAAATTTACCATGCTTACAATAAGTTTTAAATGTTTGCAAGATTTTCAAGTATTCAGTTTTGCAATTCTTGATTTATTCAATAAAATAAATTGACTGATTTAATTAATTTTTTTGAGTTATCCTGTGTAAGCAGATCTAAAAAATATGAATTTATTCGGCAAAATTTTAAGCTAACGTTATCAATTTTTTGGAGGAGATAGGGGATAAGCAAATATATTTTGATTAAAAATGTATCATGCTTATCATAACTTTAAAACATCTGCAAGATTTCAAAGTATTCGGTTTTTCAAATTCAAAATTAAATTGCGAAATGTTTTATAATTTTGATTTTTTTCCAAATTCTGGACTTTTCGGGTAAAAACTTTATTAAAATAAAGTAAAAATAACTAAAGTAATAATTAATAATAATTAGACAATAACGGATCTTGTGAATTATCACTTGTGTGCACCTAAAAAAATAGAACACTCTGAAAACAAGACTTGACTTAATTTGATGTAAACCACATTTGCAACTCATAATTTAGGCAGAATTACTACATTGGAATTCGATGTAACAGTGCAACGCAATAGTGTCGAGTAAAAAGTGTTTCATTCCTTTCAAGAAAAAATATTCACCGAGGGGCGAAACCCCACCATTCAGAAATCGTTTTAAGTAGCTTTTAAATAATTAAATGAAAATATCTTCATTGATTTACCATTTTTTTATGTTATAGGTTTAAAAATAACATATGCTACCTCCATGGACATATGTTAGAAAGAAGTGAGGTCAGAAATAGCCCACTTCCAAACTTTTAAAAAGCTTGAAAGTGTAACGTTAGTCACATTATTATTGACCGTTTTAAATAAAAATAAAATGAATTGTTGTTCTATTTTAAGTAAAGCGATTTTAATCGATTAGTTAGTTCAGGCTCCTGTTTTGGTGTCAACTTATTTCTTAGCTTCTCTATTCCCTCAATGTCTTTTTGAAAAGTGTTGTGTTAAATTTGGGCAATAATGAACCATTAATGCTACCCTAAGAATGTTATTTATGTTATTATCCTGTGCAGACATGCACTGTTTTCTAACAGCGTCCTTGGAATGGGCTTCCCCCACAGGCAATTTATTACTTAAAAGATACCTATTTGAGCAATCTCATTCGAAATCAAATATGTACCACCATCATCGAGTTTGCCAAATTCCCACCAACCATCAACGCTTTCTTTGGTAGCTGTCTTATTTTATTAACAGTAAGAGATTTAGGAAAGCTCCGGTATACCGACTGAAATAATTTGAAACTGTATCGAACGGGATTATCTCTTGCAAAATTCCCTGACTACGAGAAATAATCGACACTTAGATAACCTGCATGCTACTGAAATGTACATATATGCATATAATGTGGGGAACCCATGATTTACACGAAGATATGCCTAAGCTAATTGAAGAACCTGGACTACTTGTCACCACCTAACCCTGGGAAGAACTCTATCGGATTGTCGCAACCATGGCTCCTCTACACGTCTTGTATACTTCTGATAGAAAACAAGAAAGTACATTCCCGCCTCAGTATTAACAAACATTTATTTATCTGCTACTGCTATCCTTTCTGAAGAGTCAAGTTCCAACAATTAGTTGTATTTTTAGCACTGATGCATTGTAAATTTAAATATCGTACTATAGACAAAGAGAATAACCATATCTTCCTATTATACTGTTATGAAATAAACCCATTCGCCGCCCCGGTACGATGCTTGTATGTACGGCGATGACCGGTGGCTCATCATCGGTGACTGTGGCGTTCGACTAAAGACAAGCCTGGAAGCGGTTTGCCGGAAGTCTGGGGAAGTTTCAATGGTGGACTCCAGAACAACCTCGACAGCGGCGATCATGATTTCTTCAGAAGAACGTATGGCTGTTTAAATAGGGACCACTATCGGGAGTAAGCCAGTCTAGTCTAATCTAATCCAGTCGTGTCGATTAATGAGTATCAGTCAAGTTGACTTGGAATTATTCGCTGTTAAATTTTCGCAGTGCAGTTAGTCATGTAAATTTGTATTACTGAGAAATAAATTGTTGAGTTTTACCCACGACGATTTTAATTACCGATCATAGTAACACTGATGTCATAAGTGAGTTTCAAGATTAATAATATAATTACTTTTACGACGACTTGCAGATCAGATAAAAATTCAGAAAAATTTATGCCTGTCGAGATGAGCGCTCGGTCTCCAGCGCAAGAAATAAAGAAATTGACGAAAAAATGGACGCAACAATGGAAACACAAAAGACGAAAGAACTAACGAAAAAATGGCAATAATGTACGTGAAAATAAATAAGCAAATCAGCCTACAAACTACAGCTACAAAATTCTAAAAGGACATGGAAGCAAACAAAAATGAAATAACAGAAATTAAAGATCAAAGGAAGGAGAAGATAGTAGCAAATATAGAACTTCGATTTGGGGATGAACATCTAAAACAAGTTTTCGCACTCAAGTAAATACAAGGACACAGAAAGTTGGGGAATTTCTACAAGAATTTGAAACAGATGTTAAGGGAGTGGTACGTGCCGCATATTCCGACAAACCACCAACTTTTCAAGAGAGGTTTGCGGCAGAAACCTTTGTAAATTGCATTCGCGACGTTGCAGTTAAGAAGATTACACATGCAAGTCTCGAGGTGTCAAACATCAGCGTCGGAAGTACAAGCTGCTTACAATACTTCTAGAACGTGCGACAATATCAGAATAGTAGAATTAGAGACCGAAGAAGATGACAAGGTAGAAAAACTACTGGAAAAATTTTCAGAAAAATTCTCAGCGAATAATAGATGAGTTATGTAGCTCAAGGACAAGAGAACGGTGTGCGTCCTAAGAAGAGCATGGGATGTTTTAGGTGTGGGCGCCAGGGACATCTCAAATGTGATTGTCGTACTCATCGCCAGTCCCGAGGAGAAGCACACAATAGAGATTTCTTCACTGAAACGTTCAGGAAAACTAAAAACAGCCAGTACTTTGGAGGATGTGTTGACTGGTAACACCCCAGGGGAGTCAAAATAGGAAGTTTAACCAGAGGCAATAGTCGAGCTATACCGGGGAAGATTAATGGGACCTCCGCGGCAATCA